AGTACATCATCCATTTCACCTGAGGGACAGAGGGCAGCGCTCACTGGGGCATGGGGCCGAGGAGACCAGGGACACCCAGGACCCCAACTCTGTGTGTCAAGCATGCCTGAGCTGGGGAGAACACCCAGGACCCCACTTCTGCCTGCCAGCCATTCTGGGCCCTCCTTTGCTGGTGGGTCTTATTAGTGGCAGACAGCATTGGTACAAAGTCACCCCAACCTGTAATAGGACCCAGTGTCCTCCCCTCTCTCTGCCATGTGGGTTGGGTAGGGGGTGAAGGGTCATCCACTCACATATTCCTTCACGTTTTTTGTCTTCACGGCCTTGTATGAAGAATAGGCTGGGTACAGGGTGCCAAAGATGAGCCTGGGGAGGCAGGCATGGTTACTGGGCCCCTTAGCCAAGGGCAATGGTCTCTCCCTCCCAGCTCTGCATCAGCCTCTAGGTAAGTAAGGGGAAGAGGGACAGAACTCCCTGCTGGACTGATGAACTCAGGTCAGTGGGTAAGGTCAAAGTAGCGAACATGCCCAGATAGCTAGGGTGATGCCCCTCCCCACTCCATTGTTCAGTTTTTCTCTAGCCCCCGAGGCAGGGAAAGACCCAGAGGCCACAGGGTACAATGTGGTCCCTTGCACCATGATTTTTGGCTATGCACAAACATGTCATGGGGACAGGAGTCAGGTCACTGCCACAAGGTGTCTTCCTTCTTGACCTCATGCCCATTCATACTCATCTGCCCTTACCTTCCACCTCCCCTGTCTCAGAACCAGGCTCTGCGAAGGAATCTGACACCACCTAACAGGGCACCCTACCTGGCAGTCAGAGGTACCATGTGGCCCTGGGGCCCTGGGGAACGGAGGGCAGAGGGGCAGGAGGCCCTGAGAGAGGCAAAGCGGCTTATTCCCCCATGTAAACACTACAGGGACCGGGCTGGGGGGAGGGCTGCCACTGGTGATCCAAGTACAGAGTGCAGATAAGACAGGATGGGAAAGAAGAGGAGCAATGCCCTTTGGGGCTTGCCCAGGCAAGAGAGAAGCAGCGACCCCGAAGCCACATGGAGGCCTGAGGTCCCTCATTCCCCCTGGGGTGGGTGGGGGAAGAGGAGAGCAATCATCCCGAGAGTCTAGAGGAAACCAGGACAGAGGCACTTGGTTGCCTGGTGAGGCGCACAGAATGGGAAGAAAGGAGCAGGGCGGGGCTGCCGCTGTCAGTCCCCCACGGTGGAGGCCGAGGGGCAGGGTCCTCATTAGGGCAGGGGATAGCCCACGAGGAGCCCCTGTCAGGCCCAGCCCCTTGACCATGTGTGGGTGCCGTGGGGCTGCCTGTTTCTACATGGACAGGCAGGATACTTCCGAACTAGCCGGTGCGGATGGAGTAGGGGGCAGAATCCTCAAAGACAAAGTCTGGGGTCGTGGGGAATGGTGTGTGTTCTCTCCTGGGGCCCAGGGAGGTGCCAGAGACAGCTCCACAGTGTGGTTGGCAGCCTGGAATGAAGGCCACCGCGCGTCCTCCCCCGGCGGCATCCACAATCCCAGGCTGAGCACACACATCTCTCCCAGTTACCGCCCACACTTTGTCCTCCGAGCATTTCTGCTTCCCGATACTCAGACTTCCTCCCTGGGGGGCCATAAGGGCATGTGCCCTCGTCCCCAGTCTCCTGACAGTGAGTGGAAGCGAGAGGCCAAGGGGCTTGGCGATGGCTCAGAGCTGCGGAATGGTGATGAGGCCCTGCCTTGCTCCATTCTCTTCCATCACCCTGTTCCCTCCCACAGGGGGACAGGGCCCGGGTCTGAGGACCCCTCCAGCCCAGACCTGCTAGGTGGGGGAGGGGCCGTGTCTGCCTCCCCTTCTAAATCAAGCCTTGCTGCTCAGCCCCTACGATGGGCACAGGAGCAAGGACGGTAGAAATAAAAGAGGTTATTAATAAAGAATGTGGGTGAGGTCCCTGGGAAGCCAGGCCTGCCACGCTCCCCTAATATTCCCCTCTCCAGTCCTGGGTGCCACATCTCCATGTCTCTGGGGACCCCAAATAAGGAGGCAGCGCCTTTAGGTGACTCTGCTGCACGAAGCTTCGGAGAAGTCCACCCGGGCTTTAACACCCCCGCCCTCCATCACAGCCCGCATCACCCCCCGCCGCCGCCGCACTCACACCACCAGGCGAGAGATGATCCAGGACACCATGGCGGGGCCGGGCACGGCGCAGGGCGGGGACCCGGCCCGGCCGAGGATGCAGCTGCCGGAGGCCGAGCGGCGGCGGCGGCAGCAGGAGCCGCAGTAGCAGCAGCAGCCGCTGCAGCAGCCGCCGCGGGGGCAGCGGAGCGCCCAGAGCCGCCGTTAAAGGGGAGGTCCCTGCCGCAGCGGCGGGCCGTGGGCGGTGGCGGCTCTTAAAGGGGAGGCCGGGAGGCCTCGGCGGCGCGCCCCCCGGCACCTGCTGTGGCCGGGCGCGCGCCTCTGACCCTCAGCGTCCTGCCTTTCTGGAATCGCTTGTTCATCTTTCTTGGGTTTCAAGCCCTAGGCTGTTGTCGTGGTTCCATCCTGAAATCGACCCTGCCCACCTCCAGCGCTTACTGTGCAACAGCCCCTGTGCTAACAGCTTCAATGCATTGCCAGTGAATCCTCTAGACCACCCTATCAGGCAGGGGCTGTAATTGTCCTCATTTTGAAGATAAGAGAATGGGAAGCTTAGAAGGTTCAATAATCTGTTGAGAGTCACAAAGCCATGCTGCTAAGATGATCCCAGGAAGCCTACTTTAAACAGGTTATATCCCCCAGCTGCTGACTAGCAAACTCTCCTCTCATCACAGGCCCTGGAGACATTCACCTGAGCTCACAGGTACAGCCACACCTGCCCACTCCACTCCTCATCCCCGTTGAAAGAGGATCTCCCCTGGCCTGATGATCTGTTTTGTTTTTTGGGACAGGGTCTTACTCTGTTGCTCAGGCCGGAGTGCAGGGGCACAATCTCAGCTCACTACTGGGCTTGAGTGATCCTCCTGCTTTAGCCTCTCAAGTAGTTGAAACTGTATACAGGCCGAAGCCGCCAATGCCCAGCTAATTTCTGTATTTTTTTTTTTTCTTTTCACCAAAATGAGGTTTTGCCATATTGCCCAGGCTGGTCTCAAAACTCCCGAGAGCTCAAGTGATCCACCCGCCTCAGCCTCCCAAGGTGCTGGGATTACAGGTGTGAGCCACTGGGCCGCTGGTCTGCCTTCTTAGGTTGTCACCTCCTAAGCTTTGCAGGGGAACAGAGGTTTATGCTCTCAATGTGGTTACTCCCAACAAAGGGTCAGCTTTCTTTTCAAACAGAGGGGCTGGGAGAGGGCCTGGGACTCCAGTTACACCCCCATCAGCAAGCACTAGTGGCGGTGAATGTCCTGATTCTGACATTTATATCCAGAATGTAGGCTAGGCCGCCTCCTGATCTTCAGCAAAGCAACCAACCTCCAACCATCCACTACCCCCCAGCCCTATTGCTCTCCTTTCCTGTCCCATTTTAAAGCTTCTGCATTCCTCTACCCTTTATGTTGAAGTGTAATCCTTCTGGTGACCACAGCGTCAACCTGTGCCCATGGGGCTGAAAGGACATATTCAGAACTGTGTATTTCAAAGAGTCATGGTCTTATTCAACTCAGTATTCTTGAACCACACAATGGTCTATTTCTAACATGATAAATTGTATTTCCAGGTTCAAACGCTTTAGAGGACATTTCCCAAAAGGTTCCAGAGAAGCAGCCTCTGATAACCCTTCTTGCTATTCTTTATAACTTCCTCTCCAGAAAGCCTCTTCTAATTGGAATTGGAATGCAGTTGTTCGTAGTCCCCACAATTAAGCACTTGAATTACTGCTTGATAAGTCCCATATGGGCCTCTCCCACCATCTCTAAGGTGATCTATGGCCATGTTTCACGCAGACAGGCCGTCTGCTTAAGAATTCCACCACAGGGCCGGGTACGGTGGCTCACACCTGTAATCCCAGTACTTTGGGAGGCCGAGGCGGGTGGATCACGAGGTCAAGAGATCGAGACTATCCTATCAACTTGGTAAAACCCCATCTCTACTAAAAATACAAAAAATTAGCTGGGCATGGTGGTGCGTGCCTGTAATTCCAGCTACTCAGGAGGCTGAGGCAGGAGAATTGCCTGAACCCAGGAGGTGGAGGTTGCAGTGAGCCGAGACTGCGCCATTGCACTCCAGCCTGGGTAACAAGAGCGAAACTCCGTCTCAAAAAAAAAAAAAAAAAAAAAGAATCCCACCACAGATTGTCCAACTTTGCTCAGGCCATGGCCTTTCTCCTCAGATTTTGCCACCTTTCCCACTCCATTCACAGAGCATAAAGTATGGGGAAACGTGTCTCCTTTCTACCCCAGCTTTCCCACTCCATTCACAGAGCATAAAGTATGGGGAAACATGTCTCTCTTTCTACCCTCTTACTCATGTGGCCCCTTCCCCTCGCTTCCAAGTTCCAAACCATAATGACCTTACCCTGGCACTTTCCTTTCTCCCAACATGGCACAACCTTGAGAAGCAAAGAAAAATATTTGTGGCAGGTCATGGTGGCTCATGCCTGTAACCCCAGCACTTTTGAGAGGCTGAAGCGGGCAGATCACAAGGTCAAGAGATAGAGACCATCCTGTACAACATGGTGAAACCCAGTCTCTACTAAAAATACAAAAATTAGCTGGGCGTGGTGGCCTATACCTATAGTCCCAGCTACTTGGGAGGCTGAGGCAGGAGAACTGCTTGAACCCGGGAGGTGGAGGTTGCAAGTGAGCTGAGATCATGCCACTGCACACTAGCCTGGCAACAGAGCGAGACTCAGTCTCAAAAAACAAAACAAAAACAAAAACCCACAAAAATACATACATATATATATATGTTTGTATGTATATATACGCACAGTCATGAAGACCTGGAAATGAATCCCCCACCTCCAACCCAACTCCCAATCTGATGTTATTTTGGAAGGGTTGGTACGCAAAGAATTTAGTCCACTCCAAACAGATTTGTTAGATTTTTAATAAGAACATGGAAATCCCAATCAGCCCTTCAACAAAATTAAAATACAGAAAGTGAAATTAAAAGTATTCTACAGTAAATGACTTTTATTAAAAAAAAAAAAAAAAAGTAACTGTGAACATATAAACAGCCTGCAGGGCACTACAGTACAGCTGGAGAGAGATACATTTTCCAATGTACCTATGGGTCAATGAATTCCATCATTTTCAAATAAATCCTTAATCAGACTCCACTCAGTTGGAAAGTTTTGCTGAAAATATTTCTGGACAAAAAAAAAAACCTCATGTTGGAAATCAACTGTCCTTCCCATTTGGAAATGTGAGGAATCCCCAGGGAACACACCACAGCTCAGAGGTGACAAAGTTCCTTCTCATATGACAGTTCCCCAAGGTAAGACTAAGATGGGAGGGGGAGAAACTAAAAGAATCCTAAAAAAAGCCAATTTTAAGAAATTCTGCTTTGGCTGATTTTGTGCTATAATGGGTAGATGATTTCTAAAAATCATATTTCTTCAAAGAGTTTTATATCGAAAGGAAGACTAAATGTAATGTGCCTTTCCTCATAATCCAGGAAAACAACTGTGGTATTTCAAAAATTCTAAAAATATCTACTTTCATGAAATAGTAACTATTTCACTACAAACCTATTTTTCACTAAATACACACATTTCCTAATCCTGGAGCCTCCTGGGAAAAGCAGTGGGTTCTCCCTGGGCCCTGCAAGGCTCCAGTGTTCACAGGAGAGTGTGGGGAATGGCTTCACCCCGTCTCCTGGGATGGGCCTCGTCAGAGGTCATGTGCAGAGACGCTATCAGGCTTCCACCAGGCATGTTTAAGCAATTACCCCCTACTTGTACCAGTTATGTGATTTCCCTGACCTCCAAACACATTCCCATTTAACTAGGCACAAGAAGAAAAGAAAAGAAAGGTGTGCCCATGAATCTCAAATCAGGAGAATGTGCAGGAAAGCCCCGCCGTGTTCAGGCAATTTGGATTCCCAAAAGCCCACAGGATGGGGATGTGGCACTCTTGGCTTGGAGTCTGAAACTGTATGTGTGAACAGTACGACTTTCCTGTGTCAACCTTCGGTGTTGAGGCAGCATAGAAGAGAGTGGCTGGAGAGTTTGGAATACTGACCACACTGGCTCCGGGTGAAGGGCTTCTGCTCCAGCAAAGAGCCCTGCCGTTCCCTGTAAGTGTTGTGAGTGAAAGACCTGCTTCACAGGGAAGTTTGGAGTTTCTCCATGCCTAGGACCTTGCAAGTTTGGATTCATGAGCCTTGAGGGTGCCAACTGCATCTTTCACTGCATGGTAAATGATGTTCTTCACCTAGAGAGGGTGAACAGCAAAGTCAGTTCACAGCAGCCCCATGCAAATAAATGTATGTTCTACCTTGACTGTAAGCCTACTGGTTAGTGGGGAAAATTCCCAAAAAGGACCATGCGTTCCTACACAGTCATTTACAAATTACATAGGGCATAAAGTCTGTACTCAAAAATAATAATAAAATCCTGTGAACGGCACGGCTATCTGATCACCATCACTTATGTGCTTACTATGTCCTGGGCAGGCTCTGTTGCTGAACTCTCTTTTATTTTTTAATTTAAAGACGGGGTTTCACCATGTTGGTCAGGCTGGTCTTGAACTCCCGACCTCAGGTGATCCACCAGCCTTGGCCTCCAAAGTGCTTGGATTACAGGCGTGAGCCATCATGCCCGGCCTGTTGCTGAACTCTTTATGTGGCCCTTCGCTTAATCCTTGCCAGAATCCTATGAGGTAGGTTCTATTATGATCACCCCCAGTTTACAGATGAAAAACTGAGGAAACTCAGGCCACAGTGAATGCCTGGAGAACTTTGCTTCCTTATATGGTTAAGAGGCTTCCCTAAGGTTATACAGAAAACAAGAATGGAAGGTAGGATTATGGCATATTTTTTTCCTTTGTGCTTGTATGTTTTCTGATTTGGAAAACATATTACATGTGAAATTGGAATACACAATAAAGGTTATTAAAAAAGTGAAGAGGCATATTTAAGTGAAGAGGATAAAGATGGTTTTCTTTTAAAGGGCTGACAAGAAAATTGAGGTTATTTTGGGGGAGGAAAAGTGGGGAAATGCATAGTGGAAGGGTACATGAGGGCTTCAACCAAGTAGTTGCTGTATATGTATGTATGTGTGCTGTAATTTCTTAAGTTGGGTAATGGGCATCCAAATCCCTCTTATGCTATTCTCCATTAATTTTTTTGCATTGCTTCAACAAAAATTTGAGTACCTACTATGTGTCAGACATGGTGATAAGGAAAAGCAGTAAATAAAATAGTAAATTCCTGCCTTCACAGAGCTTAAATAACTTACCTTCTAGTACAGTTAAGTAACAGATAAAAATCTATCTATGTATCTATGTATGTAGGTATCTATCTATCTATCTGATGGTGAAAATATTACAGAAAAAATAATGCAGTGAAAGTGGGACAGAGAATGCTGAAGCAGGAGTTGCTGTTATTCCAAACAGCATAGTCAGGAAAGGTCTTTGTTTTTATTTTTTGTTTTCAAATAAAAAGACAGAGTCTGTTGCCCAGGCTGGAGTGTAGTGGGGTGATCATAGGTGACAAGAGCTTTGAAACTCCTGGGCTCAAGTGATCTTCCCACCTCAGCCTCCTGAGTGGCTGGGACTGCAAATACACACCCAATATCCCTAGCGCAGTAAAGGTGTTAAGGATAAGGTGACATGTTATCTTTACATTTGCATTCTATTTAAACAGCAGTGTTGGATGGGTGTGGTGACTCATGCCTGTAATATCAGCATTTTGGGAAGCTAAGGCAGGTGGATCACCTGTGGTCACGAGTTCAAGACCAGCCTGGCCAACATGGCGAAACCCTGACAACTACTAAAAAGAATTAGCTCAGCGTGGTAACACATGCCTGTAATTCCAGATACCTGGGAGGCTGAGGCAGGAGAACTGCTTGAACCTGGGAGGCAGAGGTTGCAGTGAGCCAAGATCATGCCACTGCACTCCAGCCTGGGCAACAGAGCAGGACTCCATCTCAAAATATAAATATATAAAAATAAAAGTAAACACCAATGGTGACTATACTTTGTATAAAAACTTTATGGTAGGCTGGGTGAGGTGGCTCACTCCTATAATCCCAGCACTTTGGGAGGTGGAGGCAGGCAGATTACCTGAGGTCATCTGTTTGAGACCAGCCTGGCCTGTTTGAGGCCATGAGTTTGAGACCAGCCTGGCCAACATGGTGAAACCCCATTTCTACCAAAAAATACAAAAATTATCTGGGTATGGTGGCGCATGCCTGTAGTCCCAGCTACTTGTGAGGCTGAGGCACAAGAATCACTTGATCCCAGAAGACGGAGGATGCAGTCAGCCAAGATCATGCCACTGCCCTCCAGCCTGGGCAACATAATGAGATCCTGTCTCAAAAAAAAAAAAAAAAAAAAAAAAAAAAAAGCAGGTAAGACTCAATCTAAGAGCAATTAAGAAAAACCTCTTCAATCTGATCTGCCAAGAACCAGGCATACCAGAGGAAAAGTGGCCACAGTGAAAGCCTAGAGAATTCTGCTTCCTTATTCTTTGTCATTTTTATGCAACTAAAGTACCTAAGTGTATTAATGATGAAATTCTGCCCTTCAAATTCCAATCCATTTCAAGAGCAGAGGAAACCTAATCTGACTGTTCAGCTCTGCTCTACAAGGGGATACAGTTCTTAGGAACATGAACTGTAATCCCTAGCAGAGCTCTAAGAAACTAAGCCTGCATAGAAATCTGTTACGAGAAACACCTTCAGCGCAATATTTCTTCTCAGAAACAGGCTTAGAACATGATGCCATAGTGCTTTTCCCACCTGTTTGGGGAGGTCAGTCTAGTTAGTTACTAACACTAATAACACTGTAACTCTGAAGGCGAGAGAAATAGAGGACTGTCACAACAGAAATGATTAGGTTAAGCAGTGGCCCACACCTGTATTCCGAGCACTTTGTGAGGCTGAGGTAAGAGGATCTCTTGAGCCTAGCCTGGGCAACAGAGACCAAGCTCTATTAAAAAGAAGATAAACCTTTTTTCTGAGATGGAGTCTTGCTCTGTCACCCAGGCTGGAGTGCAGTGGCATGATCTCAGCTTACTGCAACCTCCACCTCCCACTTCAAGAAATTCTTCTGCCTCAGCTTCCTGGGTAGCTGGGACTATAGGCGTGCACCACCATGCCCAGCTAATTTTTGTAAAAAAGAAGAAAAAAAAAAAAACAAATAAAATTAAGTGGGGTGTGGTGGCTCATGCCTGTAATCTCAGCACTTTGGGAGGCCAGGCAGGCGGGACTACGAGCTCAGGAGTTTGAGATAAGCCTGGCCAACATGGTGAAACCCCATCTCTACTAAAAATACAAAAATTAGCCAGGAACAGTGGTTGGTGCCTGTAGTTCCAGCTGGTTGGGAGGCGGAGGCAGAAGAATCGCTTGAACCTGGGAGGCGGACATTGCAGTGCGCCAAGACTGTGCCACTGCACTCCAGCCTGGGTGACAAAGCAAGTCTCCATAATAAAGAAATAAATAAATAAAATTAAAAAGAAATGATGAGGTTAAAAGATGAATATTCTCTAAATAAAACTGAGGAGGACTTATTAAACAATTCCTGAAAGGACTCCATATCCCCCAGCTTTCCTGCGTCATTTCTCCTCCACAATTAGACCTTCAAAGAATACCCTCAGAAAGGAGAATGTGCTTTCTGGTGTAATGTATATAAGTATGCAATGAGAAGACAGAGTGGGGTAGAAGGAGTTATTTACCTGCAGTTTATCCTCATGATTTGTATGAGTGTTAGAGAGATGCCTGAATTCCTGAGTCAGGCGGAAACAGTGCTTTACATGTTCTGGAGATACAAAGTCTTCTGCTACTTTTATGCAACTGTATAGATTGTGAACCTGAGAGAGGCAAAGTACAGAGGAGAAATATCAGACATTAGAGATTCAATAAATATGGAAAACATCCATGATATAGTTAAAAAATTTAGAAATAAGTATATTTCCATTTTTGTAATAACACAGAAAAGCTGTAAGTGCAAATTTATAAATAAAAATATTGACCAGGTGCAGTGGCTCATGCCTGTAATCCCAGAACTTTGGGAGGCAGAGGCACATGGATTGCTTGAGCTCAGGAGTTCAAGACCAGCCTGGCCAACATGGCGAAACCCCGAAACCCCGTCTCTACCAAAGGGGAAAAAAAAAGGAAAAAGAAATACATAAAAATATTAGTATTTGCACAGAAAATGTTCTGGAAAAATATACACCAAACTCTTAACAGTAGGCTACATCTGAGGAAAGAAACTAGATTGGGAAAGTGGGATAAGGGGATTGAGAAGAAGAGTAAGATATAGGTAGCTCAGCTAGGATTTGTCACTTTTTCTTTAATAGCTTACATTGTTAAAATTATTTTATTTTACTTTTTTTTGAGACAGAGTTTTGCTCTTGTGGCTCAGGCTGGAGTGCAATGGCACAATCTCAGCTCACCTCAACCTCTGCCTCCCAGCTTCAAGTGATTCCCCTGACTCAGCCTCCCAAGCAGCTGGGATTATAGATATGTAATGCCAGCAATTTTGTATTTTTAGTAGAGACAGCGTTTTTCTTCATGTTGGTTACGCTGATCTTGAACTCCCAACTTCAGCTGATCTACCCACCTCAGCCTCCCAAAGTGCTGGGATTACAGGTATGAGCCACCAAGTCTGGCCCTGTTTAAATTTTCTTAAATGAACCTTAACATTTAAGGTTAAGAAAATAAAAACATAAATTGGGTGCGCTGGCTCATGGCTGTAATCCCAGCACTTTGGGAGGCTGAGGCGGGTGGATCATCTGAGGTCAGGAGTTTGAGACCAGCCTGACCAACATGGAGAAACGCCGTCTCTCCTAAAAATACAAAATTAGCTGGGCATGGTGGCATATGCCAGTAATCTCAGGTACTTGGGAGGCTGAAGCAAGAGAATTGCTTGAACCTGGGAGGTGAAGGGTGCGGTGAGCTGAGATGGCACCATTGCACTCCAGCCTTGGCAACAAGAGCAAAAGTCTGCCTCAAAAAAAAAAAAAAAAAAAAAAAAAAAAAGGCATAAAATAAGTTGTAGCATAAGCAAAATCAGTCTAATTCAGCTACTTAAATCTTAAATCTCTTGGTAGATTAGCAAGAAAAGCAGAAATAAGAAAACATCCATGGAACTGTTCACCCTAAGCCCCAAGCAGGAACTCACCTGGTGTGGGGCTCCAGCAGGTATGAAAACAGCATCACCTAGGAACTGCACGATAGCCCAGCCTTGCACGCCATACTCTTCATAGAGTCTCTTACGGAGGGTCTGGTCCAGGTACCAACTTTGGTCATGAATTGGGTCATGATCAGGGGGGTTCTCTTGGCCTTGTTCTTCTCCAACCTGAAGCCATCATCAAAATCCAAAGACAGGAAAATTAAAAATTATTAACAGCATAAATCCAACTTGCTGCAGCAATATCCTAGGATGGGGTGAGGGTGACAAAACCTCTGCTTTATTCTACTTAACATCCTCTATGTGTGGATGCAAGCCTTTGGGCTTTTCCACCAGAGGTACCATGGCAAACAGGTCTGTCTTTTTTCTTTTCTTGTTTCAGAGACGGAGTCTACTATGTTGCCCAGGCTGGAGTGCAGTGGCTATTCACAGGTGCAATTCTACTACTGATCAGCACGGAAGTTTTGCCCTGCTCCGTTTCCGACCGGCCAACCGGTCTTTAATGCCAAGGAACTCCACATGAGAAACCCTAGACAGGGTGTCTTGATATGTGAGCTGGGAGCACAGTCCATCCAGGGGCATACCTTTCTAAGCAGCTCCCGGATCTTCTCTGCATCCTTGGCTGCATAGATGTGCCATAAAGCACCTGGCTTCTCTTTTCCATCATGAATCCTCTGCTTTGTCACCTCATCAGCATCTCCCTCATCAATTGTCTTGAGTACCTCTGAAAAGAGCAAAATGACACTTTCAATGTAGTTAGCCATTTCAGTACCTCTGAGTTAAACAAAATGTCTAATTCAAACAAATTCAGTTTCTACTCTTCTCCATCTCTGGAATAATATAAGACAGAATCAAAGAATCAAAATTCATACTGGTCTAAGCACCCTACACACACAACGAACAACAACAAACCTTCCTTATTAGAGCTTCAGCATTTTTGGAGGTATAATTTCCCCATAAAACACATTTCTTGCTCAAACTGTGTAGCCATATCTTATGTTTAACTTGCAGGCTATTTCCTGCTACAAGTATATGGAGTTTGTATCTTTTCTCAAGACCCCTTCAAACACTAGCATTCTGGATCTAAGCTCACCAAGCATAAAGCATCACTGGCAAGTTAAGAGGGTTGGCTTCTAATGCTTATCTGTTATAATCACCTTAAAAACAAGTAATGAATGTTGCAGGTGTGCAGAATCAAAAGCAATTGTAGGCCAGGCATGGTGGCTCATGCCTGTAATCCCAGCACTTTGAGAGGTTGAGGCAGGAAGGTCACCTAGGTTAGGAGTCTGAGACCAGCCTGGCCAACATAGTGAAACCCTGTCTCTACTAAAAATACAAAAATTAGCCAAGTGTGGTGGGACATGCATATAATCCCAGCTACTCGGGAGGCTGAGGAAGGAGAATAGCTTGAACGCAGGAGTTGCAGTGAGCCAAGATCATGCCACTGCACTCCAGCCTGTGTGACAGAGTAAGACTCTATCTCAAAAAAAAAAAAAAAAAAGGCAAATGTAAAGCCAGGCATAGTGGTCTTGCCTGTAGGCCCTGTTACTTGGGAGGCTGAGGTGGGAGGAATACTTGAGCCCAGGAGTTTGAAGCCAGTCTGGGCAACATAGTAAGACTCTATCACAAAAAAAAAAAAAATTACCCCGAACCTTGAGATTATACTTACTTTCTTTTTTAAAAAAGTATCTCCTTTTTCTGAAATTTCCACAGTGAACATATACTAATTTTAACACTGAGATGGCAGAAAGTGCAAATACAATGCAATTCATTTGCATTTATGCAAATGAAGCAAAATATCACTTTTATGCTTCATTTCTATGAAGGTCCTCGCTTTATCATCTGTCATTCCACAGCTGACCTGACTGATAGGTTAGGTCAGAATTCTGTTTGCCCTTTCTTTATTCCTCTTTGTGAGGTTACAAAGTGGAGAAGGGCAACATTTCTAGAAAGAGAAAGACTCTAGTCAAAGATACACAAAGTAGTACTCTTCTCTACTAAAATCTTCCCCTTTATCTAGCAACATCCACTGGGAACCCACTTCCCATCAGGACTGGAAGAAACAAGAAAAAGCTACTAGGGGAATAAAACAAGAAAAAAGAAAAGCCACTGGACCTGACTAAGGATGAAAACACCCAACTGTATTCCCAAGACAAAGCCTCACCATTCTGAAGCAGTGGGTTCTAGAAATCATACCTTCATCATGAGCACCCTCCCCGATGGGAATCCCAACATACACCATCACATTAACCGCATCAGACACATCTAAGTGTAGATTTGTTGTACCAACTCTTCTATCTTCTGCTGTTATCAACCCTAAAGGAGAAAGGAAAATACGCAATCGGAAGAATCTACATCAATAATACATCTGAAAACATGCTCAAGGGTGTTCCTTCTATTGAGATGGAGTCTCGCTCTGTCAGCCAGGGTGGAGTGCAGTGTTGTGATCTTGGCTCACTGCAACTTCCACCTCCTGGGTTCAAGCAATTTTCCTGCCTCAGCCTCCCCAGTAGCTAGGATTACAGGCACATGCTACCACACTCGGCTAATTTTTGTATTTTTACTAGAGACAGGGTTTTGCCACGTTGGGTAGGCTGCTCTCATACTCCTAAGACCTCATGATTCGCCCGCCTCGGCCTCCCAAAGTACTGGGATTATAGGTGTAAGTTGCTGCGCCCCGCCCAAGACTTCACTCTCCTAAAATTAAGAAATCACTCTCATCTCCTTTATACTGTTTTAAGACTGATTTATTATTGACACTGTTTGGCCACTGAACAAAATCTACCTCCAAAAAATGATCTCTCCATGAAAAACAAAACAGGCTGGGTGTGGTGACTGACTCCTGTAATCCCAGCCCTTTGGCAAGAAGAGGCAGGTGGATCATCTGAGGTCAGGAGTTCAAGACCAGCCTAATTAACATGGAGAAACCCCATCTCTACTAAAAAAATACGGAAACTAGCTGGGCATAGTGGCGCATGACTGTAAATCCCAGCTACTTGGGAGGTTAAGGCAGGAGAATCACTTGAACCTGGGAGGCAGAGGTTGTGGTGAGCCAAGATTGCACCATTGCACTCTAGCCTGGGCAATAAGAGTGAAACTCTGTCTCAAAAAAAGAAAAGAAAAGAAAACCAGGTATGGGCATTAGGCATATTCAGATATAGCTGAGCTTTCACTGTGATTTAGGTCATCACTGGCCTTCCCAAAGCACTGGCTGGGTAGCATGACACCCAGACCTCTTCATTATTATTTTGTCAAGTCTCTTTAGACTTAAGAATATGGCTCCTTGGGTAGTTTTTGACAGGAAACTTCCTCACAACTGGAGACATGTAAGCTTATGGTCTGGGCCCACATGGATGTTATGAAACCCAGTATGACAAAAGCAAACCAGCACCTACCCAAAATAATCTCTACGCCTGACAGTGACCACAGATCTCCCTCTATAGTTGAAATAAGAACAATAGTTCCCCGAAAGAGCAATTTTAGTCTCTCCCTCATACCATAGGCGTTGTACATCTTGGGGCCCAGATCAGGCCTTACAAAGTAGCTAGGTAGCCTAGAGGCCAGATTGAGCCTGCCATCTCGTTTGGTATATTCTGGCAGAGGAAGGTTCTCCATCAGATCTTCAAACCTATAAAAGTGCAGGAAAGATGACTTAGCTTGTTATTAGGGAAGAAAGCCAAGAGACAAAGTTCACTTTTCTGTGATTACTTTGCGAAGGCTTCTGAAGATGAAACCAGTCACTAACCTCGTTGGCATCATGTCTCGAAAATCTTCCCCAGGAGGCCAGTCCTTGAGTTTGAGCACCATTGGCTGCCCATCTTCTGACCGTAGTCGTTCTGGAAGACAGAGAATACTCCTATAAACATCTGCTGGTTTGGCTGCTGTCCGATTTTCAACAATGACAAAAGTTTTAGGAGACTAACCTCTTATCTTTTTTTTTGAGATGGAGTCTTGCTCTGTTGCCTGGGCTGGAGTGCAGTGGCGTGATCTCAGCTCACTGCAACTTCCACTTCCCAGGTTCAAGTGATTCTCCCTGCCTCAGCCTCCTGAGTAGCTGGGATTACAGGCAACTGCCACCATGACAGGCTAATTTTTATATTTTTAGTAGAGACAGGGTTTCACCATGTTGACCAGGCTGGTCTTGAACTCCTGACCTCAGGTGTCTGCCCGCCTCGCCCTCCCAAAGTGCTGGGATTACAGGCGTGAGCCACTGCACCTAGCTTAGGAGACTAACCTCTTATTTCAGAGTTGTAAACTCCCGTAATGGACTAGGTGGGCTTTGTTTTCCTCACTCACTACTTCAGTATGTGTCATATTTTTCCATCTTACAGGGATTCTGTCCCCCTTCCTCAGAGGGAAAGTGCTCTGCACAGCCCATGGAATCACATGCTTAAGCCTAGGCATGCTCTGGGAGTCATGTAATTGCCATGTAAACTACATGGTTGGCACCAGGGAAGAATGTACCCCACCAAGTGGGTATAATTTATTTATTTATTTATTTTTTTTTTTTTTGAGACGGAGTTTCGCTCTTGTTACCCAGGCTGGAGTGCAATGGCGCAATCTCGGCTCACCGCAACATCCGCCCCCTGGGTTCAGGCAATTCTCCTGCCTCAGCCTCCTGAGTAGCTGGGATTACAGGCACGTGCCACCATGCCCAGCTAATTTTTTGTAATTTTTAGTAGATATGGGGTTTCACCATGTTGACCAGGATGGTCTCGATCTCTTGACCTCGTGATCCACCCGCCTCGGCCTCCCAAAGTGCTGGGATTACAGGCTTGAGCCACCGCGCCCGGCCTAATTTATTTTTTTGTTGTTTTTATTTGTTTTTGAGATGGAGTTTCACTCTTGCTGCCCAGGCTGGATTGCAATGGCGTGACCTTGGTTTACTGCAATCTCCGCCTCCCAGGTTCAAGCGATTCTCCTGATTCGCCTCCTAAGTAGCTGGGATTACAGGTGCCTGCCACCCACTACACCTGGCTAATTTTTTTTTTTTTTTTTTTTAGTAGAGACACCACACATGGCCTTAATTTGGTTTTATTTGTGGTGCCATCTTGGCTCACTGCAACCTCTACCTCCTGGGTTCAAGCGATTTTCCTGCCTCAGCCTCCTGAGTAGCTGGGATTATAGGCACACACTACCACGCTGAGCTAATTTTTGTATTTTTACTAGAGACAGGGTTTCACCAAGTTGGGTGGGCTGGTCTGGAACTCCTGACCTCAGAGATCTATGCATCAACCTCTGAAAGGGCTGAAACTATAGGAGCGAGCCACTGCACCTGGCTGGCTGGCTGTATGTATGTATGTATTTATTTATTTATTCAAGTCCTCATTATGCTCCAGAATATAATTTATTATTCAAAGGCAGAGCTGGGCATATAGATCTTTATTTCCCAGTTTGCTATTACTGAACTAGGTATAAAAGCTACTTACTGCATATGATCTCGAAACCATCCCAGAAATCCCGAACTTTCACGTCGGAAATTATAGCACAGTTCCTGCAGTTCACCAAGTCCACATCCTGGTCTCCAAATTCCTGGCTAAAGGCTTCTGGCTTCCAGAGCTCAGACTTGAGCTTTTTATGTACCCCCGAAACCAGCACTGGCTATGAAAAACAAAAATATCCCAATCAGAGCAATCTAGGAAAAACTTCCAGCTCTAGGGCTGAGAGAGAAAGGAGGGTTTCCTGAGGAGGGCATCCTCTTCTCCAGGAAAGTTCTACTATTCTTTCCCAGTTTTATAATGCATGGATTTCCACATGTCAACTAAAGTGAAAGGAAATGCTTCTACTCTATTGTTATGCTTGATTCTCACCCTCAAGAAATCACTTCTGTTGCCCTAGTACCTGCCACTGTTTTAAGGTGAGAGAACAAATAGCTGACAAGTGCAACTTTGAGATTTGAAAATACTTCCTCATACTGAAAGTGACAATTCTATCCATGAGCTCCCCCTTCCTCAACACCTGCTAAAGTTTTTAAACTAGGGATTGTTAATCACACTATCAAAAAACTTGTGTGGCCTTAAAACATTTACTTAGAAAAAGTACTAAACCCTCCTCCTCCCCATGTTAAAATCACACTTAAGAATTTTTCTCTAAAGGTGTTATCAATACCAGATCACCACCTAACAGAAATTTCAACTGCCTTTTTAAGAACACAGAACTATATAGCTAAGAAACAAGAGGATGCATGGTGTTTTTAGGAATCTCCTTGATTTATTTATTTTTTTGAGGCAGAATCTTGCTCTGTCGCCCAGGCTAGAATTCAGTGGCATGATCTCGGCTCACTGCCACCTCTGCCTCCTGGGTCAAGTGATTCTCCTCCTCAGCCTCCTCAGCAGCTGGGATTACAGACGCCCACCACCATGCCCAGCTAGTTTTTTTGTATTTTTAGTAGAGATGGGGTTTCATCATGTTGGCCAGCCTGGTCTTGAACTCCTGACCTCAGATGATCTGCCTGCCTTGGCCTTCCAAAGTGCTAAGATTATAGGTGTGAGCCACGATGCCCAGCCATCTCCTTGCTTTTAAAAACCCAAGACAGTGCTCGCTTCGGCAGCACATATATTAAAAACCCAAGACAACTTGAAGTAGCAAGGCTATTATAATAACCTCACTATGTCTAAATCTCCCTGGCAGAAGGAGAGACCTGGAATTGTCCAGGTAGCTGTGGTAGGCAGGCAGACAGCTGGTCCTCGGAATGACTTGTTCTTGCTTACCTGACCTTGCTTCCAACACTCCCGGAAGATCTTCCAATTGTTTTTGTTGCTGGGATCATGGAGACACAGAAGCCTCCCATCACAGAGCCAGGAGTGAGAAGTATGGGGATCTAGCACATTTAACCCCATCACCATTTCCTTCACTTCCTTCTGGGTTTCAGTTAAGTTGCAGGCCCGCTTTGAAGCATCTGAGGTTTTCTTATTTTCTACCACTGAGGCAATGATGTGGTCAAGAAAGTTGGGTAGGCTGGCCTTGCTCTTCACTCCCTGCCAGACACAAATCCATCAGGTAAGCTTGACTGAAGCACCATGAGAATGGCATTCCAAAAACCGTCTCACAGTTGTATTCACAAGTAGTTCTGACCTATCTGATTAAATTCTACAAAAGTTATTAAAATGTCTTTTACAATTGGAAGGGGCTAAGAAGTCAACATCTTAAATTCCTTTATCCTTCATATTTTACCTTAACAATTAGGTAAGAAAGGAAAGTACCGAAAGATCCCTTCTGCCTTGAGAGATTTGAGTTCTAAGAAATACCTTTGGCAACAGCCATTAAGTGTACAAAGCACACATGCATGTGGACTGCAGGGATCATCAAATGCTGTAACTGAGTGAGAAAGATCATTTAGTTTTAGGGTTCTAAATTTTTCCTAATCAGCAGGCCCAGGGATACAATACTTCGATTAACTAACTGAAGTGACTTTATCAAGGCAGGGAGCACCTCAATGAAGGGTGTACCAGAGTGTCCAAGAGGAACTGTATATTCTGAAAGCAGTCTCTGACTCTCCAATTTTTCCCTCACTACTATCCCACTGAGAATCACTCACCTGTTTCAGCTGATGGGAAAGCTCAGGCTCAGAGATGAACGTGACATACCTACGGTCACAAAACTAAAGGTAGGGGAGCTTTTATAAACTGGATAATCCTATGCTTACAGTATTACTAATCCCTGTCTCTATAAAGTGTGTATAATCATGTAACATCATGGAAGAATCAGAAAAAGAACTGGTGGTATGATGAACAAATATACATAAAACAGTACCCAAAGTAATTGTTTTGTTTGCTTTTTAAAAGTTACTTATCCAGGCCAGGTGCAGTGACTCACACCTGTTATCCTAGCACTTTGGGAGGCTTAGGCGGGTGGATTACCTGAGGTCAGGAGTTCGAGACCAGCCTGGCCAACATGGTGAAACCCTGTGTCTACTAAAAATACAAAAATTAGCCAGGTATGGTGGCATGTGCCTGTAGTCCCAGATACTTGGGAGGCTGAGACAGGAGAATCGCCTGAACCCAGGAGGTGGAGACTGTAGTGAGCTGAAATCGTGCCACTGTACTCCAGCTTGGGCAACAGAGTGAGACTCCTTCTCAAAAAAAAAAAAAAAAAGTTACTTATCCAAAAGAGAAACAATCACCCACATATATAGGGCTCAATCACCCATAATTCATCACGTTTCAGCTGTCAATCATAAAATAGAACATGACTAGCTGGGTGTGGTTGCTCACACCTGTAATCTCAGCACTTTGGGAGGCTGAGGCGGGCAGATCACCTGAGGTCAGGAGTTCAAGACCAGCCAAGCCAACATGGTGAAACCGTCTTTTTGAAAAAATAAAAATAATATGACACATATTTATGTTTTCACTTGAAATGATTTGCAGATCATATAAACTGAAAATTAAAGAAACAAGGTGTAGAACATTTGTATAAAACGAGGAAAGCATACAGAGGATAATATCTCGAGGCAGCTGGGAGGCAAGGGTGTGAAGGAAACCTGTCACTCTAAACCTTTATACTATCTTTAATTAAATTAATCAATCAATTTTTGAGTTGTAGTCTCACTCTGTTGCCCAGGCTGGAGTGCAGTGGCGGTCTCGGCTCACTGCAACTTTCTTTCACCTCCCGGGCTCAAGTGATTCTCCTGCCTCAGCCTCCTGAGTAACTGGGATTACAGGCACATGCCACAATATCTGGCTAATTTTTTATTTTTAGTAGAGATAGGATTTCACCATGTTGGTCAGGCTGGTCTCGAACTCCCAATCTCAGGTGATCTGCCTGCCTCAGCCTCCCAAAGTATTGGTATTACAGGCATGAACCACTGCACCCAGCATCATTTATTTTTTTTTCAGACAATTCTCCCTCTGTTGCCCAGTGCGTGGTGCGATCTCGGCTCATTGCAACTTTCACCTCCCAGGTTCAGGCATTCTCCTGCCTCAGCCTCCCAAGTAGCTGGGATTACAAGCATGTGCCATCATGCCTGGCTAATTTTTCTATTTTTTAGTAGAGACAGGGTTTTGCTATGTTGGTCAGGCTAGTCTCGAGCTCCTGACCTCAAGTGATCTGTCTGCCTCAGCCTTCCAAAGTGCTGGGATTATAGGTGTTAGCCACTGTGCCTGGTTGCCTTTTTTCTTTTTGAGACGGAGTTTCACTCTTTTTGCCCAGGCTGGAGTGCAATGGCATGATCTTGTCTCATCGCAACCTCAGCCTCCAGGGTTCAAGCGATTGTCCTGCCTCAGCCTCGCATGTAGCTGGGATCACAGGCACTCACCACCTGGCCCAGCTAATTTTGTATTTTTAATAGAGATGGGGTTTCTCCATGTTGGTCAGCCTGGTCTTGAACTCCTGACCTCAGGTAATCCGTCCGCCTCTGCCTCCGCCTCCCAAATTACTGAAATTACAGGCATAAGCCACCATGCCCCGCCTCTTTTCTGTCTTTTAGATGTTGTACCTTGTGAATGCATTCATTCAATAAATGCTTACTAAACACGACTGGATAAAACACCATGGCCCTAGGGATAAACTATAGAATAAAACAGGAAAAAATGCCTTTAGGAGAGGCAAGAGACAGAAAATAAAACACACAATAGGTCAGATGGTAATGAGTGCTATGAAAAAAATAAAGCAGAGAAAATAGATATGTGCAGAGGAGACAGTGTGATGGAATTTTAGAAAGCGTGATGTACAAAGTAAGGGTTACTGAGAGTAACATTTCAGGAGGTAGGTGAGGGAGCTGATGATGAAGCAAGCAAGGGGGTTACATGGGAAAGAAATTCTAGGTAGAGGAAATAACAAGTGCAAAGGCTCTGAAGAGGGAGCATGCCTGGCCAGGTTGAAACAAGAGCAAGAAGGTGGGTGTGGCTGGAACGGAGTGAACAGGACAGAGCGTGGTAGTTGAAGTCACAGAGGTGAGGGGAAGAGGAACAGATAAGGCTACAGCCTCATAGTCCAGGTGCGTATTCTATTCATCTGTAAGCACTATAAGGATTCTGCTCTTCTTATGACAGAAAGAGGAAGCCCTTGGAGGATTTCAGGCAGAGGTGATATGATCTGACATATATTTTATTATTTTTTTCTTTTCATTCTTTTAAAATTTTTATTTCTTAATAAAAAGCCTCCAGTGGGATGACTTATATTTTAAAAGGACCACTCTAGCTACTGTGTTGAAAATACATTGTTGGCTGGGTGTGGTGGCGCGTGCCTGTAGTCCCAGCTACTCGGGAGGCTGAGGCTGGGGGATCTCAAGTCCAGGAGTTCTGGGCTGTAGCGCGCTATATGCTGATCGGGTGTCTACACTAAGTGCAGCATCAATATGGTGACCTCCTGGGAGCGGGAAACCACCAGGTTGCCTAAGGAGGGGTGAACCAGCCTAGGTTGGAAATGGAGCAGGTCAAAACTCCCGTGCTGATCAGTAGTGGGATCACACATGTGAATAGCTACTGCACTTCAGCCTGGGCAACATAGTAAGACCCCATCTCAAAAAAAAAGAAAATACACTGTTGATTGTGAAGGGCAGGAACAAGGAGACCTGTAAGGAATTTATTGCAAAAACTTAGGCAAGATGTTAGCTCAGACCAGAGAGAAAGCAATAGAGCTGATGAAAAATAACTGGATTCTGAATATAGTTGCAAGATCAAATTTGAAAGGATGTGCTAACAAATTAGATATGAACGGTAGGACAGGTGATTCCCAAATGATTCTAAGATTTCTGGTGCAAGCAATCAGAAGGACAGAGATGCCACTGACCAGTTAAGAGAAAACTAAGGAGAAGCAGGCTTATGATCAGAAGATCAGGAGTTCAGGCTTAACATGCATTAAGCGTTTCAGGTTATCTATTAGATATCCAAGAGACTACAATACAAATGTACTATCCAGGTTAAAAAAAAACCCTGCTATTATCAAGAAAATCAATCAATCATTATATTAACTTTTCTCTGATGACTGAAAAACTTCAAATTCTCAACTTTTACTGACTTCCTAACATGGTACAAAGGTTCACTACTTAAAAAGATCTCAAACATTCCCAAAACTTTAGAGACCTTGTCAGTTTGACAATGTAGAGAACACAAATCACCCATGTGCCCTCTAACCCAATTATCAGATCTCTGACGGTTCTTTCATGGAAAGACAGCAAAGGCTAGAGTTGCAGAGAGGACACTTACTGCTGAGGATGTAGAGAAGACCGGGGGGAAAGGTATGCCTGTGTCCAAAGGGGTTTGAGGAAGTTTTCCAGGCCCGGAGTGAAGGAGGTCTCGAAGGCTAGAGCCTTCGGTTTTATTGTTGGAGGCAGTGGGACCCAGCAACAGACTGTTAAAAAGCTTTGGAGTCAACGGAGAGACCTTTGCAGTGGAGTTGAATGAGTCCAGCCCAAAGGGTGAATGAGACTCTTTATTGAGCACCGACCTCAGGGACCCTGCTTCTGTAAGAACATAACCAGGAATAACATTAGGTACAAAAAGGAATACCCAGCACACAACTGACTCCTAAAAATCAGTCACGTGGTTAGAAGGAAAGATTCTCTCCCTTCCCCTGCACCCCCCAAACTGTGTATGCTCTGTTTGGGTCTAGCCTGACAAGCTATAATTACAAGAGGTCTCACAGCCAAGAAGCTCTCCTACTACTTCTTTACCAAATCTGAATTTCAAACTCCCTTTTGTTCTCATCCATCTTTCATCTCCCTTACTTTCTAAGACAGTGTTTCAAGTGGATCTCCAGAATACCTGTACTGAAGTCACTGGGAGTGCTTGTTAAAAATGGAGATCATTACCCCCAGAGATTCTGGTTTCATAGTTCTGGGTAAGGCACGGGAATCTGCATTTTAAACCATTTCCCAGGTGATTCTTGTGTCCACTGAAAACTTCTACTCTAAGTCTAGCTCTCAATCCTGGCTGCATAACAGAACCATCTGAGAACTTGTTAAAAACCATGTATGTGGCCGGGCACAGTGGCTCACGCCTGTAATCCCAGCACTTTGGGAGGCCAAGGTGGGCAGATCACCTGAGGTCAGGAGTTCGAGACCAGCCTGACCAACATGGAGAAACCCTGTCTCTACTAAAAATACAAAAAAAAATCAGCCAGGTGTGGTGGTGCATGCCTGTAATTCCAGCTACTTGGGAGGCTGAGGCAGGAGAATTGCTTGAACCCAGTAGGCAGAGGTTGTGGTGAGCTGAGATCGTGCCATTGTACTCCAACCTGGGCAACAAGAGCGAAACTGCTTCTGGAAAAAAAAAAAAAAAAAACCTTGTATAAATTCTGACTAAGGAGGTCTAGGGTAGGCAGGGTAAAGCCCAGGCATGTGCCTTTTTAGAGAAGCTCCATTTCTATAAAGAAGTTGAAAGACAGCCCTTCATTTTTATGTGATCAGCCAGAGAAAGCAAGTGGCACGTTTCATTAATTGGATGGTAATGTGTGAGTTCAAAGAATCCTGGAACAAACTCTTGAGTTCCACCACAGGCAGAGCAGAGGTTTGTATGCATCTCACCTTTTGTTTCTTCTTTAGCTTTCTGGGTTGCTAAATCTGCCAACCAGTGCAGGGCGGAGGAAGGTGGGGCCATGTCAGGGCAAGGAGGCCTGATGGCTTTCAGTTCACTATTGCTATTTGATGCTGAACTGTCTGTTTTCAGAGGTTCTTCAGATCTGATGTCAGTGCTGTCGGCTTTGGGAACATGGTCCGGCTCTGGAGTTGTTACTGCTGCCAGTCCTCCTCCGCCTGAGAAGGTAGTTTCGTTTCCAGAAGAGGCACTAGGGTTTATACTAGGAAGCTAAAACACAGAAGGTCAACATGATTAGAGTGCTGGCCTTGACAACACAACTAGTAATGGCTTCCCATACTAAATAGGTCTGGGAAGAATTATCTGTGCCATAAACTGGCGTTTCATACATTCTTTAATTCAAAATATATTTATTGAGTCATACAACATGCCAGAAACCAGGCTATGTTCTGTGATCAGTGAACAAGGCTTGAAGTTTGCAATCTAGAATAAAGACTTAGCATGTCTGACACAATTTATACAATGGCAAATTGGTAATTTAAATGACCATAGTACTATTCTTAGGATTATATAACATAGTATATGCAAAGGGCTTAGCATGGTTCTGACACACATATATGCTAAATAAATGTTTATTACTCTATTATTGATTTTTCCAAATAATTTATTCTATCTAGAATATTTACATACTCTACTTGGTCAACTCTACTGAAAATATATCTTGAGACCCCTCAGCATTAATCCCTGTGCCTCTTATCATCAGCAATATGTTATAGCAGTGTTGCCAGAAAGGCCTTGGAATGTAAGCAGTTGGTTGTAGGTCAGGAGTTCAAAACCAGCCTGGCCAATATGGTGAAACCCTGTCTCTACTAAAATACAAAAAATTAGCCGGGCATGGTGGCTCATGCTTGTTTGTAATCCCAGCTTCTCAGGAGGCTAAGGCAGGAGAATCACTTGAACCCAGGAGGCAGAGGTTGCAGTGAGCCAAGATTGCACCACTGAGCTCCAGTTGGGTGACAGGGTGAGACTCTGTCAAAACAAAACAAAACAAAAAAAAACAGGCCAAGTGCAGTGGATCACGCCTATAATCCCAGAATCTTAGGAGTCTGAAGTGGATGGACCACTTGATGTCAGGAGTTTGAGACCAGCCTGAGCGACATGGTGAAACTCTGTCCCTACTAAATATACAAAACTTAGCCGGGTGTGGTGGCACATGTCTGTAATACCAGCTACTCAGGAGGCTGAGGCACGAGAACCACTTGAATCTGGGAGGCAGAGGTTGCAGTGAGCCAACATCACGCCACTACTAGTCTCTAGCTTGGGCAACAGAGTGAGACTGTCTCAAAACAAAAACTGACAGAGCAATGTGAAAACCATTGTCTCTGAACCCAACTCAGTGAACCAATCTTCATATTTCTGTCTTCCGTACCTGAGATGAATCCAGTGATATGGACTATGTATCATCTCAGATAAGACTCAAGAAGACCAGTAGTATTCTAAGCAACCTTTTCTATATTCTTTACCCATACAAAAACCCTGAGGTATACATCTTGACAAGATGCTAAGAATCTCTTTGTGCTATTAGTCAACCTTGAACTGGTTTAAAGACGAATGAAGGTTGAGTGTGGTGGCTCACGCCTGTAATCCCAGCAGGCCCAGCATGGTGGCTCATGCCTGTAATCCCAGAACTTTAGGAGGCTGAGGCAGGTGAATCATGAGATCAAGAGATCAAGACCATCCTGGTCAACATGGTGAAACCCTGTCTCTACTAAAAAATTACAAAAATTAGCTGGTTGTAGTGGTGTGTGCCTGTAGTCCCAGCTACTCGAGAGGCTGAGGCAGGAGAATTGCTTGAACCCGGGAGGCAGAGGTTGCAACCAAGATTGCTTGTACCCGGGAGGTGGAGACAAGATTGCACCACTGCACTCCAGCCTGGCACCTGGCAACAGAGCAAGACTCTGTCTCCAAAAAAAAAAAAAAAAAAAAGATGAATGAAGAGAAACTGTACCAATAAGGAATAATTAAATAATCCTTTGAGTTAAGTTCTTTGAGCTCTCTCTAGAAAGGCTTCCCCATCCCCTAATTCCCCCGGAATCCTATAGTAGCCTGGCATAACAGAGCTGAAAAGAGGGCATTTCCTGGTACAGAAATCTTTAAGCTTCATTTAGTTATATCCACTCACACCAGTTTACCTGTGACATCCCATTGGTGACGGCAGGTCTTAGCACAGATTTGTTCTGTCGACTGATACACGGGCAGTTTGCTTTAATTCCCCATTTGCCCCGGGCAGCATGTACCATGTCTCCAATATTGTAAAGAGCTGGGAAAAAAGGTAACAATAAAAATAACACCAGAATACTCGTATATGCCACATATTGTGCTAAGAGTCTTCTTTACATTATTTTTCTGAATCCTTACCACATTTCAATGAGGTAGCTTTTTTTTTTTTGAGACGAAGTCTCTCTCTGTCACCCAGGCTGGAGTGCAGTGGCATGATCTTGGCTCACTGCAATCTCCACCTCCTGGGTTCAAGCAATTCTCCTGTCTCAGCCTCCTGAGTAGCTGGGACTACACGCTAATGCCACCACGCCCGGCTAATTTTTTTGTATTTTTGGTAGAGATGGGGTTTCACTGTGTTAGCCAGGATGGTCTCAGTATCCTGACCTTGTGATCTGCCCACCTTGGCCTCCCAAAGTGCTGGGATTACAGGTGTGAGCCACTGTGCTCAGCCAGGTAGCTGCTTTTATCTTCAATTTTTGATGATCTAACTGAGACAGAGAAGTTAGGTCATTTGCTCAAGTACAGAAAGCTGGTAAATGGAAGCACTTAAACACTTTAGTCCAGGTTTATCTACCCCTAAAGTTCTGTTACTTTTAAGCACTAAGCTACACTCCTTTCCCTCATCTAGTAAACATTAACATGGTGTCCTCCAGGAGAAACTCTAGGGGTAGATTTTTCAGTGTTCAAGAGTGTAAACATTTTAGCTGGATTTTTACAAGCCTAAACCATAAGTCTTTCTGAAAGCCTAGGGCACTGGCTTTTTCATTCTGGCTTCCCAAAGTGCTGGGATTACAGGTGAGTCACTGAGTCCAACCTGAGGTATAATTTATAAAGAATAAATTCCAGCCAACCACAGGAATGTGAAATGATATCTGGAAACAAAATTAGTTCCTCTGATCAGAAATGGGGAGTAGAGTGTGCAGTGGCCACATGCACACTAAAACACATCGAAAGATCCAAATTTGGCTGAGCATGGTTGCTCATGCCTTTACTCCCGGGGAGGTCAAGGAGGGAGGATCTCTTGAGGCCAGGAATTCAAGGCTGCAGAAATCTATGATCACACTACTGCACTCCAGTCTGGATGACAGAGCAGACCATGTCTCTTACAAAAACAATAATAATAAAGATCCAAATTCTCAGAGAAATCTGATGATGCTTAAAAGAAAAAATCAGGCTAAGATAAAACATTTTGGGCCGGGCACGGTGGCTCATGCCTGTAATCCCAGCACTTTGGGAGGCCGAGGCAGGTGGATCACGAGGTCAAGAGATCGAGACCATCCTGGTCAACATGGTGAAACCCTGTCTCTACTAAAAATATGAAAAATTAGCTGGACATGGTGGTGCACACCTGTAATCCCAGCTACTCGGGAGGCTGAGGCAGGAGAATTGCCTGAACCCAGGAGGTGGAGGTTGCAGTGAGCCGAGATCGCTCCATTGCACTCCAGCCTGGGTAACAAGAGCGAAACTCTGTCTCAAAAAAAAAAAAAAAAAAAAAAAAATCAAAATTTTTACGTTGTATGGCTATCTCAACTAAAAACATTTCTTCCACCAAATCTAAAAAAGGAATTTCCTTACCTGTGCCAGGAATAATTTGTGTGGGCATGAGATTCTCTGGTTCGTGGGACTGTCCCTTTGCACACTTCAACCAGGAGAAAACTTCTTCATCACCCATCTCTTCCGTCTCTGAAATAAAAATGAATGATTTCACTTATTTTATAAGGGTCACAAAATGGATCCTTCTGAGTGGGAGTTTCAGAACCCCGAAGGCCAAATAGCTAATCTAAAAAAACAAAAAGCCCCTGCTTTTCTGAAATTTTATTTATTTACTTATTATTATTTTTTCTTTTTTGGGGTCCCTCCAGCTTAGCTTTACTGCATTTATTTACTTATTTTTGAGACAAGGTCTAGCTCTATCATCCATGCTGGAGACTAGTGGCTTGATCTTGGCTCACTAAAACCTCCGTCTCTCTGGCTTAAGCCATCCTCCCACCCTAGCCTGCAGAGTAGCTGGGACTACAGGAGTGCACCATCACCTCTGAATAATTTTTGTATTTTTTTGTAGAGATGGAGTTTTGCCATGTTGCCCAGGCTGTTCTCGAACTCCTGGGCTCAAGTTCCTGGTCCTGCCTTGGCTTCCCAAAGTGCTGGGATTATAGGCATGAGTCACTGTGCCCAACCTGAGGTATAATTTATAAATAAATTCAACAATTTAAAGTGTTTGCCTTAGTGAGTTTAGAGAAACTGAATGAACAACTACGATAATCACGACACAGAAACTTTCTATTCCATCTCCAAAAGTTCTCTCAGGCTCTTTGCAGTCAAGTCAATTCTCTTTCCTCAAGCCCTGGCCATCAGTGATCAACTTTATAATACTAGAAGCATGCAGGATGCAGTCATTTGTGTTGGGTTTCCTTCACTTAGCATAATGCTTTTGAGACTCATCTATACTGTTGTATTAGTAATTCATTCCTTTTTATAGCTGAGTAGTATTCCATGGTATGAATGTACCATGACTTGTTTATCTATTGATCAGCTGGTGAACATTTGGACTGTTTCCAATTTTTGGCTATCATAAAAAAAGCTGCTATATGGCTGGATGCAGTGGCTCACGCCTGTAATCCCAGGACTTTGGGAGGCTGAGGTAGGCCCAGGAACTTGAGCCCAAGAGTTTGAAACCAGCCTGGACAACATGGCAAAACACTCTCTCTACAAAAAAAAAAAAAAAAAAAAAAAAAAAAACAACAAAACTTAGCCGAGCATGGTGGTGCATAGCCTCTCAGCTACTTGAGAGGCTGAGGTAGGAGGATTGTTTGTGCCTGGGAGGCAGAGGCAGGAGTGAGCAGAGATCGCTCCATTGTGCTCCAGCCTGGGCAACAGAGAGATCCTGTCTCAAAAACAAACAAATAAAGCAGCTATAAACATTCATGTATAGGTCTTTTTGTGGAAATGTTTTCATTTCTCTTGTAAATACCTAGCAGTGAGATGCCATGTCATATGGTAAATTTTAGTTTTATAATTTTGTAGGAAATGACCTTATTGCTTTCCAAAGTGATGGTACCAATCTGCATTCCTACCAGCAATATTTAAGAGATCTACTTCCTCCACATCCTTGATAATACTTGATACTGTCAGTTTTAAAAATTTTAGCCATTCTAGTAGACATAATGATTTCTCATTACGGTTTTAACTTGTATTTCCCTAATGAATAATTTATTCCACATACTTATCTGCCATTGATCTATCTTTTCTGATGAGGTATCTGTTCAAATCTTTTTAAAACCAGCTTGGGCTGGCATGGTGGTTCACACCTGTAGTCCCCAGCACTTTGGGAGGCCAAAGTGGAAGAATTAATTGAGCGTAATAGTTAAAGACCAGCATGGGCAACACAGTGAGACCCCATTTCTCCAAAACCAAACCAAAACAGAACATCAATAACAAAAGAATGGGCTTGTTTGCCCAGGCTGGCGTCAAACTCCTGCTGGCCTCTAGAGATCCTTCTGTCTTAGCCTCCCAAGTAGCTGGGATTATAGGTGTGCATCACTATGCCCAGTAGCTTTTCATTTTCTCTTTTTTTGGAGACAGGGTCTCACTCTGTCACCCAGACTGAAGTGCAACGGCTCATTGCTGCCTCACTGCAGCCTCAACCTCCCAGGGTTAAATGATTCTCCCACCTCAGCCTCCTGAGTAGCTGGGACCACAGGTGCAAGCCACCACATCTCACTAACTTAAAAAAATTTTTTTTTGTAGAGATGAGGTCTCTCTATGTTGCCTAGGCTGGTCTTGACCTCCTGGGTTCAAGCAATGCCACTGCCTTGGCCTTCGAAAATGCTCAGATTACAGGTATGAGCCACAATCTCAGAACTCTGGGGGGTGGAGGTGGGCGGATCACCTGAGGTCAGAAATTCGAGACCAGCCTGGCCAACAGGGTGAAAACTTGCCTCTACTAAAAATACAAAAAAATTGTCCAGGCGTGGTGCTGGGCGCCTCTAATCCCATCTGCTCGGGAGGCTGAGGCAGGAGAATCACCTGAACCCAGGAGGTGGAGGTTGCAGTGAGCTGAGCTCGTGCCACTGCACTCCAGCCTGGGTGACAGAGAGAGACTCTGTCTCAAAAAAAAAAAATTTATTGGCATAATAATGTTCGTAATTTTACTTATCATTTTAATGTCTAAAATATCTATATTGAGATCCTTGCATTCTTTTTATTATTATTATTTTAAAGAGATAGGGTCTCACTATGTTCATCCACTGGCCTCAAACTCCTGGGCTAAAGTGATCCTCCCACCTAAGACTCTCAAGTAGATGAGATTATAGGCACATGCCACCATGCCTGCATCTCTCATTCTCTCATTTGGTAAACTACACCTTCTCTTTTTTATCATCTAGGCAGAAGCTTAGTAAATATAAAATATCTCTTTTTCTCATTTATAATCTTCTTTTAAAAGTTAATTGTTTAACTTTTTTTTGAGATGGGGTTGCATTGTCACCCAGGCTGGAGTGCAGTGGTGCACTCACAGCTCACTGCAGCCTCAACCTTCTGAGTTTAAATGATCCTCCCCCATCAGCCTCCAAGTAGTTGGAACCACAGTAGTTGCATGCCACAAAGCCGAGCTAATTTTTAAATTTTTTGTAGAGACAGAAGTCTTGCTCTGTTGCCCAGGCTGGTCTTGAACTCCTGGATTCAAGTAATCCCCACCTTGACCTCTCAAAGTATTGGGATTGCAGGCGCGAGGCACCGAACCCAGCGAGTCCCATTTCTTTTTGGTTTCATTTTTCCCATCTTCTTTTGAATTATTGCATATTTTTTGTGATTTGATTTTGCTTTCCACTTTGGACTTATTAGCTATATGTCTTTTTTTTTTGAGACGGAGTTTTGCTCGTTACCCAGGCTGGAGTGCAGTGGCGCGATCTCGGAGTTGCAGCTCACTGCAACCTCTGCCTCCTGGGTTCAGGCAATTCTCCTGCCTCAGCCTCCTGAGTAGCTGGGATTACAGGCACGCGCCACTATGCCCAGCTAATTTTTTGTATTTTTAGTAGAGACAGGGTTTCACCCTGGATGTTGACCAGGATGGTCTCGATCTGTTGACCTCGTGATCCACCCGCCTTGGCCTCCCAAAGTGCTGGGATTACAGGTGTGAGCCACCACACCCGGCATGTCTTTGTTTTTAAGTGGTTGCTTTAGCATTTTCAGTATTAATCTTTAACTTTGATCAGAGTCTTCAAATATTAATTTCACTTTACATTTAGTGTAAGATCCTTACAAAACTATACTTCCATTTTCCCTCTTTTCCTCTGTGCTACTATTATGTATCTGAATTTTACATATATTATAAACCCCACAATACATTGTTGCTACTTTTGCCTTTTATTTTTTTTGAGACTGAGTCTCGCTCTGCTGCCAGGCTGGAGAGTGCAGTGGCGCAATCTCGGCTTACTGTAACCTCTGCCTTCTAGGGTCAAGTGATTCTCCTGTCTCAGCCTCCCAGGTAGCTGGGACTACAGGCATGTGCCACCACACTCAGCTAATTTTTTATATTTTAGTAGAGATGGGGTTTTACCATGTTGTCCGGGTGGTCTTGATCTCCTGACCTCTGATCTGCCTGCCTTGGCCTCCCAACGTGCTGGGATTACAGGTGTGAGCCACCACACTCGGCTTATTTTTGCTTTTAAACAATTAACTGTTAAAAAGATTATAAATGAGAAAAAGAGATCTTTTCTATTTACTCATATATACCATGTAAGATGTTCTTCATTACTTTGTATAAGTTCTTATTTCCATATCACATCATTGTCTTCTGCCTGAATGATTACCTTTAACTTTAGTATATTGTGGAATCTGTTGGTGGTGCATTCTATCAGCTTTTCTTGGTCTGAGAACAGATGATAGAATGGTCACTAATTGTTTTGTTTTGTTTTTTCTTTTTTAAGACAGAGTCTCACTCTGTTGCCTAGGCTAGAGTACAGTGGAGTGATCACGGCTCACTGCAGTGCGTTAACCTCCCAGGCAGAAGTGATCCTCCCACCTCAGCCTCCCAAGTAGCTGGGACCACAGGCATGTACCACCATGTCTGTAATCCCAGCACTTTGGGAGGCTGAGGTAGGTGGATCACCTGAGGTCAGGAGTTTGAGACCAGCCTGACCAATATGGCGAAACCCTGTCTTTACTAAAAATACAAAAAAAAAAATTTTGCAGGGCATAGCAGCACAAGCCTGTAATCCCAGCTACTTGGAGGGGCTGAGGATTCACCTCCTGAACTCAGGAGGCGGAAGTTGTACTGAGGTTGAGTCTCGCCCCTGCACTCTACCCTGGACAACAGAGTGAGACTCCATCTCAAGGAATAAAAACAACAAAAAAAGTTCATTCCATTGTTTTCTGTTGTCTTCTGGCCTACAGGACTTCTGACAAATTGGCTGTCATTCTTACCTTTGTTACTCTACACAAAATGTACTTTGATGTGGTTTTCTTAATGTTTTTTTTGTTTGGAGTTTATTGTTAAATTTGTGTTTACATAGTTTTCATCAAATTTGGAAATATTTTGACTTAAATATTTTTTGTCTCTATTCTCCCACTCTTTCTTTCTGAAAGAAAGGTTTGGTAGACCACCTGATATTTCCTGCAGCTTTACAAGGCATTTAAATGGCGGTCATTTTTCTCTGTTCTTTGTTTTATATAGTGTCTTTTATCATGTCTGCAAATTCACTTTTTTCTTCTTCTTCTACAGTATCTAATCTGCTGTTAATCTCATCTGGTATAATATTTGAGATATTTTTCATCTCTAGATGTTTTCATTTGGGCCTTTATATATCTTCTTTTCTCTCCTCATCACATCATATTTTTCTTTAAGTTCTTAATCATATTTATAAGATGTCTAATAGCTACATTAAAGTTCTCCTTCATTTGTTTTTGGTTGAGATGGGGTCTTATATTGCCCATCCTGGAATTGAACTCCTAGGCTTAAGTGATCCTCCTGATCCAGTTTCCCAAAGTGCTGGAATTACAAGTGTGAGCCACCATACCTGGCTTAAGGTTTTCTTTTCTTTTTCTTTCTCTCTCTTTTTTTTTTTTTTTTTGAGACAGAGTTCACTCTTGTTGCCCAGGCTGGAGTCCAATGGTATGATCTCGGCTCACTGTAACCTCCGCCTCCCCAGTTCATCAAGTGATTCTCTTGGCTCAGCCTCCAGAGTAGCTGGGAATACAGGCAACTGCCACCATGAGAGGCTAATTTTTTGTATTTTTCATGGAGACAGGGTTTCACCATGTTGGTCAGGCTGGTCTTGAACTGCTGACCTCAGGTGATCCACCCCACCTTGGCATCCCAAAGGGCTGGGATTACAAGCGTGAGCCACTGTGCCCGGCTGGTTCTTTTATATTCTATTACCATTGTCACTCTGGGTTTTTTTCCTATTGACTGATTACCCCTCCTCAGCTTACTGGTCATGTAAGTCAGTATTTTTGCACACTTGATAATTAATTACTGATTAAACATAGAGCTTTGTGACTTATATTTCTGGGTAATGGGTTTTGTTTGAAGGGTGCTCCTTTAAATTATTCCTTTAAAGGGTATTTGGTGTTAGTGTGGTACACAATTAAGTAACTTACTGATCTTTTTGGTTCTTCCAAGGCTTGCTTTATACTTTGTTATGGAGGCTCCAGAACAGTTTTTATTCTGAGACTAAATTAGTCCCACTACTCTTCATACTGGCTGGTGGGAATACAAATCATGAGTATTGTGAATTACTCTGTCAACTGCTTTCTGAAGGTTCTATCTTGGGCTTTGAGGAGTTTCATCTTATTCATAAACAGATCACTATATAGGCAAAAACTGAGGGGCTCTCAATGTAGATGTCTGTGCAGTTCCGGTCTTTTTAGCACTTTGCCTTATTCTTCTCAGACTGTCGTCTCTGTCTCTCATCAATAAGGTTGCCAGTTTCTGTTTTGGTTCTCTTTCCTTTGCTACAGCCTAGAAACTGCCTAGCCAGGGCAATTGTAGGGATCACCTTGTTTTTTTCCCTTCTCTCAAAGATAACAGTCCCTTGTTTCCTGTTGTTCAATGTTGTGAAAACTATGGTTTCATAGATTTTATGTGGTTTTCTCACTGTTTATGGCAGGAGGGCAATTCCTGTGGCAGTTAATCTTTCATGGGCAGGAGTAGAATACTCTAGCAGCTAACATTTATGGAATACCTGGTGGGTGTCAGGTCCTATTCTAACTACTTTACATACAACACCTTATCAAAACAACAAAGCTGTGAGGAAAGTACCGGTATCTTTGTTTTATAGACAAGAAAACTGAGGCTCTGCAGGATTAAGTAACTAGCCCAAGATACAATAGTTGGTACAGTAAGATGCAGAAATAGGTATCACATCACAGTAGCCTAAACTAAACCACTGTATAATGGTTATATTGTACTTCCAAAGAGGGAAGAAGAAAAAAGTCAAGAGGCAAAGGAGGGTTTTTGGCATGTAATAAGATAAAGCAAGAGCCAAGGGCAGCAAATAATTTAAATAGACAGTTTTCCCAAGAAAATAAACAAATGGCTAGGCACAGTGACTCACACCTACAATCCTAGCAGTTTGGGAGGCCAAGGCAGGAGGATCACTTGAGCCTGGGAAGGACCAGACTTGACAATGTAATAAGACTCCTTCTCTACCAAAAAAAAAAAAAAAAGAAAAAGAAAAAATAATTAGCTGGGCATGGTAGCATACACCTGTAGCCCTGGATATGCAGGACACTTAGGTGGGACGACTGCTTGGGCCTAGGAGGTTGAGGCTGCAGTGAGCCATGACTGTGCCACTGCACTCCAGTCTGAGTGACAAAGTGAGACCCTTTATCAAAAAAAAAAAAGACAAAGTACATGAAAAGATACTAAACATCATTAGTCACCAGGGGAAAGCAAATCAAATTGACACAATGAGATACTACTTCACAGCCACTGTGATGGCTATAACAAAAAAGACAAAGGTCAAGTGTTGGCAAGAATATGGAAAAGTCCCATACACATTGCTGGTGGGACTGTAAATAGGGCAGCTACTTTAGAATATAATCTGGCAGTTCCTCAAAAGGTTAGAAGTAGAACTGTCAAATGACCTAGCCAATTCCACTCCTGCATATATAAATACACAAGAGAAATGCAACCATAAGTTCACACACAAATATTCACAGTAACACTATTCATAATAGCCGAATGCAGAGACAACCCAAAAGTTCAACTGGTGAATAAACAAAACATAGTATATTCAAAAAGGAGTATTATTTGGCAATACAAAGGAATGAATGATTCATATGTGCTAAAACACAGATTAAACTTTAAAATATTACACTAAGTGAAAAGGGCTAGTCACGGAAGGCATAACAAAGTGTAAAGCAAACCCTGGTAGAATCAAATTGTTCAGCAAGTTACTTAGCTATGCACTAGATACAATAGTGATGATTCTTCTGGTTTTTTTTTTGAAATGAAGTCTCACTCTGTTGCCCAGGCGGGAGTGCAGCAGTGTGATCTCAGTGCACTGCAAACTCTGTCTCCGGGATTCAAGTGATTCTTCTGCCTCAGCCTCTCAAGTAGCTAGGATTACAGGCATATACCACTACGCCTGGCTAATTTTTGTATTTTTAGTAAAGACGGGGTTTCGCCACGTTGGCCTGGCTGGTCTTGAACTCCTGACCTCAAGTGATCTGCCCGCTTTGGCCTTCTAAAGTGCTGAGATTACAGGCTATGAGCCACTGCGCCCAGCTGATTCTATTTTTATGATATATCTACAAAGGCAAAAAGCAGACTACTTGTTAAAATAGTATTCAGTGGCCAGGCCAGGTGGCTACTGCCTGTATCCCCAGCACTTTGGGAGGCCAAGGTGGGTGGATCACCTGAGGTCAGGAGTTCAAGACCAGCCCAACCAACATGGAGAAACCCCATCTCTACTTAAAAACAAAAAAAGTACAAAAATCAGCCGGGCATGGTGGTACATGCCTGTAATCCCAGCTACTCGGGAGGCTGAGGCAGGAGAACTGCTTGAACCTGGGAGGTGGAGGTTTTTTTAAAGAACATCTTTATTGAGATATAAACAAAGATCTTGGCTGTGAGCCAAGATTGTGCCATTGTTCTTCAGCCTGGGCAACAAGAGCAAAACTCCTGTGTAAAAAAAAAAACACACATATATAGCATTAGTCTAAAAAAAGAGAAAAAAGCAAAAAAGCAGACTAGTGGATGCCAATGGCTGAGGAGGAATAGGGAGTGACTGCTAATAGGTATGGGTTGTCAGGTGGGGTGTGGACTTACTTTATTTAATTAATTGATTTATTTTTAGATAGTTCTTGCCCTGTTGCACAGCCTGGAGTGCAGTGGCATGATCATAGTTCACTATAACCTCAAACTCTGAGCTCAAGTGATCCTACTGCCTCAGTCACCTGAGTAGCTATGACTACAAGCATTTGCCACCACATCTAGCTAATTTTATTTGTTTAGAGCTGGGACTTGCTGTGTTGCTTGGGCTGGTCTCAAACCCCTGGCCTCAAGTGATACTTCTGTCTCGGCCTCTCAAAGTGCTGGAATTACAGGTATGAGCTACCACACTAAGCCTTACTACACACGTTAAAAGGGGGGAATTTTATAGCATGTGAATTTTATCTCAATAAAGATGTTATAAAAAAAAACAAAACAGAAACACAGGCATGGTGGCTCACACCTGTTGATTCCCAGCGGACTACTTGTTAAACCAGCATTGTGAGAGGTTGAGGAGAATCACTCGAGCCTAGGAGGTCAAGAGTGCAGTAAGCTGTGACTGCACTGCTGCACTCCAACCTGGATGACAGAGCAAGAAACTGCCTAAAAACAAAAAACAAAAAACCCACAAGGGAAGATTAAGAATAATCCCTCTTGCCTTGTTTCAACCTTCCTACGGTATTTGCCATTTTAAGGTCTTACAATACAACAAAGTTGAATGAAGCCAAGGAACTAAAGAGAGGCATAAGCCCATTTCTGCCTCAATTTTCAAGTTCCTCAACTCCACGGACACACCTAGAGCTGCACAGGACAATGTTTACTTACCGCTGCGAGGCCGGCTTTTCCTGAGCCGGTAACAGTCAAGACAGACCCCAAATCCACATTTACGACAAACCCAGTGGATATTGAAGAGAGTTGTTTCACACACATCACACATCTCCCGTACACCTCGCACAGCTCGCTTCCATGCCACTTTCTCTGGTGGAAAGAGGAAGCACAATTGGCATTGACCATCCTGACCGACAGCAAAAGACCCCAGACCCACTGATCCCTACTCAAGCTATTTTGTTCAGTAATAAAACTCAAAGATTCATAAAGTTTTTGTTTCTGTAAGAGAAACTAAATACAAGAAATTTCTAGTATTTCTGAACAAACTGTACAACTTATTTATAATATAATGATATTTCAAGGGTTCATGGTAATACCAGGATATAATCTACTGTCAAAAAGGAATTAATGCCACATGTTGTCACTCAAGGAATTGTAAAATTTTTAATTGGTGGAATTTAAAAATAAGAGGATACCTCTCTTGAAATTTAGGATATAATTTCACAGTGTAATTTTCCTTAGTTTGGAAAATAGGGCTCAGTATCTTACAGACATGGAAATATTTGAAATGTATGAATAATGTGGGTTCTAGGTGTGAAACATGGCACCTAGTAACACACCATTTATTCACAAACCATAGAGCTTTTAAATACAAATTGGCTCAAAGCAAACTGAAAATATTCAGAGTGAAGCAAATCCAAATGGGAATTTAAATGGATGTTATGGTAGCTGTGCTACAAAAATGAAAGGCAAGCAGAGGAATTTTTAGTTTGTTAATTGCCAAAAACTGAAAGAATGAGGTCTGCTGGATATAGTTAAGGTCTCAACTACAGGTTGCTATAAAGAGAAGTCTTATCAGTCTTAATTCATTCACAAAAAAATGCCATCTGCCACTGTCTCCAATCCTTGATTTAAGTGAAAGAAAATAAAATTTTTCACTAGGAGCACCTGGAAGACAAGTGAGAAAGTGACTTACGGTGTGGCTCCACCATCATCATGGCCTCCTTCTCAGACATTACGAGCTGACAGAACTGGTCCCCAACATTGGCCAGGATGTATTTTGAGGTCTCTAGATCTATTCCTTCTGCTAGGGAGGAAGAGGGAATCCACAGGTTCATGGCATCAGGGTCACTTTGCTGGGGGCTTAGAAACCCCTCCACACGGAGTACCCCCTTTCGAGTGAAGATCAACCTGAGACATGATCAGATACATGGTAAATAGCAGTAGCATGCAAACTAACACACACCTAAACTCCTAGAACCTAAACGTAAGTAAAATGAGACAACAGGAATCAGACTAAGAATTTTCACCACAGTTGACCAAAACAGTATACATTCTCTGCTAATAGTAAAGCTTGTTAACTAACAAATAGTAGGTCTAGATTCTTTAAAAAGCTGTCCCAGAGCTTTTTAGTTTTTCTAAAAAGCTTGGCTTAAGCAATCTGCCCACCTATGATGGCTCCTTGTAAAATTTTTTTATTATTAAAAAAACCTGCTCTTTGTTTTTCTATCCACCACACCTAGCCAACACAGAGCCACTTTCATCATAACACTTTATTTATTTTTTGGAGACAAAGTCGTGTCTGTTGCCCAGGCTGGAACACAGTGGTGTGATCAAAGCTCACTGCAGCCTTGACCTTCTGGGTTCAAACAATCTGCCACCTCAGCCTCCCAAGTAGCTGGGACTACAGGCACCTGCCACCAGATCCAACTAATTGTTTATTTTTTCAAACTGTTTGGGCCAGTCGTGGTAACTCACGCCTGTAATCCCAGCACTTTCAGAGGTCGAAGCAGGTGGATCACGAGGTCAAGAGATCGAGACCATCCTGGCCAAAATGGTGAAACTCCGTCTCTACCAAAAATACAAAAATTAGCCAGGTGTGGTGGCACATGCCTGTGGTCCCAGTTGCTAGGGAGGCTGAGGTGGAAGAATCGCTTGAACCCAGGAGGCAGAGGTTGCAGTGAGTCGAGATTGTGCCACTGCACTCCAGCTTGGTGACAGAACAAGACTCCTCTCAAAAAAAAAAAAATCTGTTTGTAGAGATAGGGGCTTGCCATGTTGCCCAGGCCAATCTCAAACATCTTGGCTTAAGTAATCTGCCCACCTATGATGGCTCCTTATAAAATTTTTTATTATTAAAAAATAAAATAAATTAAATTAAATTAAAAAAGCAATCTGCCCGCCTCGGTCTCCTAAAGTGTTGGGATTACAAGCATAAGCCACTGTGCCTGGCCTTGTAACACTTTAAATTCATGTCTACCTACCTCAGGTGAGTCCTTAATATTGCCTGACAGTCACAATACAGTTTCTTGGTACACTCCCTCTCCTAGATGCCTATTGTCATACCTTCCTTCTATTCATACCTTCAATATTACTTCCCCAGTTAGGACCTTGCTTTCTATCCCACTGAGAAAACAGGAGCCAGAAGACAACTTCCACAAGCTCCTACCACAACACTACCACACTTCCCTGCAGCTTGGCCCACGTATTCCATATGATTTCCTGATGCTCTGAACTAGCAAAGGCCAATCTCTCCAGCTATATCCTATCACTTTTCCCCAACTCAAGGACATTTCTCCACTAAATCTCTGCTCTCTTTTCAACATCATCTGTTTTCTTCTCTATCAGATCACTCTTGCCAGCATCTAAATTTGCTCTAATTTCTACCACAAAAATTCTCTCAAGCCACACCTTCCTCCATTTATCTGTTGTTAGGGCAAAGTCCCTTGAAAGAATTGTCTATACTCATTGTCATACGTTCCTCCCACTTTTATTTTCTCCCTTACAATCAGGCAGTTCCCCTACCAATCTACCAAAACTATTTTGATAAGGTAATTCTACCTTACTAAATCAGTCACTTCTAGTCCTTATGTAATACGACCTGTCAGCAACATTTTTACTTTTTTATTAAAAATTGTTTTGTGCTGGTTGTAGTGGATCACACCTGTAATCCCAGAACTTTGGGAGGCTGAGGCAGGCAGATCACCTCGGATTTCCTCAGGAGTTTGAGACCAGCTGGACAACATGGTGAAACACCGTCTCTACCAAAAATATAAAAAATTAGCCGAGCATGGGGCCAGGTGCCTGTATTCTCAGCTCCTCAGGAGGCTGAGGCAAGAGAATTGCTTGAACCCGAGAGGCGTTGGTTGCAGTAAGCCAAGACTGTGCCATTGCACTCCAGCCTGGGCAACGAAGCAAGACCCTGTCTCAAAAAAAAAATTATTATTATTATTTTTTTGTAGAGACAGGGTCTCACTATGTTGTTCAGGGTGGTCTCAAACTGCTGGCCTCAAGTGATCCTCCAACCTTAGCCTCCCAAAGTCCTGGGATCACAAGTGTGAGCTACCACCTCCGTCCAAGTCAGCAACATTTGACACAGTTCATTATTCCTTCCTGGAAATACTTTCTTTAGTGTCTTCTAAGATACCTCACTGCCTAGTTTTCCTGCTACTTCAGTGGCTGTTCTTTCTCGGTCTCCTTTACTAGTTCTTCTAACTTCTCTACCTCTAAACATTAGAGAGTACCAGCATTCAGTCCCTAGACTGCTCTCATTCTTTATCTATGCTCTGATCTCACTTAGTCTGACAGCTTTAAATACCTGGTGATTTCCAAATTTATATCTCCAGGTGGAACCCCTTCCTTTAACTCTAGAGCTGTATCTCCAGCTGCCTTCTCAGTATCTCCCTTTGAAAATCTAACATGCATCTCCAATTTAACATGGCCAAGTTAAAACTCCCCATTTTCCTCCCAAACTTGCTTTTCCCTAAAGAATCTCTTTATCAGTAAATGACAATCTCATTCTTCCTGTTTTTAGGACAAAAGACATAGATAGAATCAGACACAGAATCATCCTTAAGTCCTTTCTTTCATACTCCACATCTAATTCATCAGAAAATTATGTGTGCTCTATCTTCAACCACTTATCATCTCCATCACTGTCTCCCTGGTCCAAGCCCCATCATTTTTCACCTGGATAATTCAAACAGCCTCCTAACTTCTCTGCTTCTGCCCTTGCCTCTACATAACCTATTCTCAAGAAAGTAGCCAAAGTGACCTTTTAAAACATTAACCAGTGTCACTCATCAGCTCAGGGCCTCCAATGACTTCTCATCAGAGTAAAAACCAAGGCCTTTAGAACAGCCCCGTAAAATTCATCATTAACTCATTCACTTCAACTCCTTTTCCTTCTTTGCTTATTCCATTTTAGCAACCTAACTTTATGGACACACCAGAAATATTCCAGCTTTGGGATGCTTGCACATGTATGGAATTCTTGTCACAGTGTGGTGTATTGCTTCACCTCCCATAGGCTATTCCTCAACTCTCACTTTCTCAGATCATCCTGTTTAAAACTGTAGCCTCTCTAGCCTCCCCACACTTTAATCCTCTTTGCTTTCTTTATTTTTCTCTTAGTTATGATAAGCTGACATATCATTTATTATTTTTTTTTCTTTTAGGAAGAGTCTCACTTTGCTGCCAAGACTGGAGTGCAGTGGTATGATTAGGGCTCACTGTAGCCTCGACCTCATGGGTTGGATGATCCTTTGACCTCAGCCTCCTGAATAGCCAGAATTACAGGTGTGTGCCACCACACCCGGCTAGTTTTTAAGATTTTTGTAGAGACAAGGTCTCACTATGTTGCCCATGCTGGTCTCAAGTGATCCTCCTGCTTCGGCCTCCCAAAGTGTTGGAATTACAGGCAGGTAATCACGCGTGGTCTTTTTTCCGTATTTAGTGTCTGCCTCCCCAAATCTTCTGAGGGCTGAAATTTGCTGAATCCTCAATGGCCAGAACAAGGGTTGGCACACAGTAAATGCTCAATAAACATCTGCTAAGTGAATCCACATCATAATGATAAACCATATGGATTTACTTTTAAAAATTAAAGATTCTTTTTTTTTTTTAATTAAGTTTTTTATTTTTTCTAGAGACAGGGTTTCACTGTGTTGGCCAGGCTGGTCTTGAACTCCTGACCTCATGATCCACCTGCCTTGGCCTCCTAAAGCACTGGGATTACAAGCGTGAGCCACTGCACCCACCCTAAAAATTAAAGATTATTGAAAGGTCATTCAGAAGGAACTCCCCTTCTAAATTTATCAAGCAGAAGGAAAGTGACTAAAGAGCTGTTGTTGGGTAAAAGCAGAGGATATTCCCAGATTTTCATCAGTTATATCTATTTCAAAGATGCTTCACATTATCTCCAAATCTTATTTCCCCTTCTTTTTAACATGACTCAAGTTACTCTAGAACTGAAGAGGAATAAGCAGTCAGGGAGATCCATAATATGAAATACAGTCCTTCTGCTTATAACAGTGGTTTCAAATAGAACCAACCCAAGTTAGGAATAACTCAGGGAACAGCACAGGGCTGCAGCTTAGACTGCTCAACTTCAATTCTCCAAGGACAAAACCACATGTCACTTTACAGTCCAAACAACTAAGTGACTACTATGCCAGGGCCTTTTCACAGATGCTGAGAGCAAAGGAGTTAAGGAAAGCAAAGACCAAGATGATCAAATATGTTTATAGACTCAGAGAAAGAGTGGAAGTTATGTGTCACTAATGAAAACTGGCAAAGGAGGAAAACAGGAGTATGGGTACCTCCGGAAGTGAAAGAAGCGGCAGGCTACAGTAGAATCATCTTGCTCCTGTTCCTTAAACTTCCGGTACCGCTCCAGGCGGCATTCACGACACTTATGCAGATGAGGTGCCACGTTGATGCACGACCCATCCTGAAGGAAGGGCTCTCCAGACTGCTTCAGCTTCTTCACTTTACTTACATCTTTCAGCACTGACTGGCCAACTGTGGCAAGGGGGAAAGAAGAAAAGTTTGTCATGAGGTGTTAATAGGAACCAACAGCATGATTCTTTTGGGGACAGACATTTGTCCTGACCTGGGTTGCTACTCCTTTCCCTGCTTGGGCATGTACCCATTCTGTCCATCCTTGACAGAAATGGAAGGCAGGGAGCAAAGAGGCTACCAATGGGAGCTAAGAACCATGCAGAACTTGTGGGAAGTGCCCCACTATGGTGAAACAACTTTGAATATGGCTGTGAAAAACACAAGAAGGCAGATTGTAGCTATCACTTGCCTCTAGTCTCTCACGATATGGCTGTTCTGTTAAACCAGGACCTCTTGAGCCTCCACAACATACCAATTCCTAATGAAAACAGCCACTTTTACCACAAGACTTTGTTTTATATGCTTCTGAACTATAAACTCACACCACAGAAGTTAATAGATTTTGATAGAGCTATTAAAATCCTTACGTATGTTTCAGAGAGGAGCAAACTGAGGAGTGATTCTCTCTGCTTCAAGTCTACAAATGTCTGCTATGTGGGAATGGATACCAGTTCCCAGTAACCTCCTGAAGTAAAGAGAATGGGCCAAAGTGAAGTAAAAAGGGATGAGACAAATGCAAAGAAATAAGTTTCTGACCCAAAATAACCAACAGCCAAGGAAGATCAAGAGTCCTCCTTTGGGAGATTATCATTATATGGGACAGATACCCCTCCTACAGTGCTGGTTTAGATGCAATCCTGCCCTGAACCAGGTCTGACAAGGGGCCCCTGGCAGGTCCTCTTGGCTCTGTAATTCTATGAGATTACAGAACTTCCCATCAAAGTCAGGGCCTCTGCTGCACAAGAGCACAACAGGCATTTGAGCCCAGTGCCAGAGCAAAGCCCAAATATAGCCCCAGCAGGATCACCTTTCAGGGGGGCGGTCCGAGGCCGGCCCTTGGGGGCCTGCTTCCCTTTGCTTTTGCCCAGCAACAGCTCAGCACTGCGCTCCCCATTGGGGCCCAGCTTCCCCATCAGGTGCTCTGGAATCCCCTTCAGACCAGTCTTAGCCTGCAGCTGCTCCTCAGAGTCACTCAAATCTGACAGGTCACTGTTGGTGCTGGAGTCCGAGTCCTGTCTGCAAGCCAAGCTTCGCTCATCCAGTGAGAACCTTTTCACAGCTTCAAAAGGAGCTTTGTTCTCCTGTGAAAAATCTGCCGGGGAGGACAGAAAGCCGCCTGAGTGCCTGCCAAAGACATTACTAAAGGTTTTGAGGAGGGGATTGTCCTGCTGCCCAGGCCCCACAGTTGGCCTCTCCTCTGTGGGGCTGGAGGAGAGAGTTGGCATCTCAATGGGCTGAGTGAGGCTGCTGGTGGGAGAGCTGGAGCGGCCATTCCCCATGGCAGAGAGGCTTGGGCCCCCAGTGGTAAGAGCTGAGCCCAGAACACCAGATACTAGCTTGGAGGAGTCAGCTGTAATGAAGAGAGGTTTCTTCTTTGCTAAAGATGCTGAATCTGCAGAGGAGTGAGACTCGGGCCAGCTTGGTGCCACCTTGGAGGTGACAGTGGTAGCAGAAGAGGAGCTACCTGATGCCTGAGATGCAAAGCTGCTGAAAGGGCTGTGTTCAACTTTCTCCACAAATGCCAGGAAAGGATTAGAAGGCTCTTCTCGGGACAATTTGGGGGGTTGTAAAAATAGATTTTCATGATTCTCGGGGGTGCGGGTATTTAGGAGGCTCCGTGGGAAGGCTGGAGTGAGGGTGGGCATGGACTCTGCAGGCACTTTCCGGTCCACAGAGCTGCCAGCCTTAGAGCCTGGCTTAGTGTCTGCTCCAAGAACGGATCTGCCTTTACACAGGCCTGAGCTCAGGCTCTCAAGGCTTTGTTTGAATGAGTCCCGACTAGAGGAATCATCAGCCAAACTCTCTGAAACAGTAGTGAAGTAGTTACTGGTAGGTAAAGTTTGGGACATGCATTGAAAAAACAAGTTTTTGGAGAGATCAGTGTCTTTCTGAGACTCTTGTGCAGAGGTACAACCAAAAGAGAAGCCCAAAGATTTGTTCTCTGTGGCTAGAACCCCATTAGACTGGCTCCTTCCACTTCCAAAAGTTAAAGGTTGTGACGAACAAGGGAGAGGTGCTCCAAATCCAGAAGAGGCCAGGATAGAATTTCTTGAATTCTGAAAGGAAGATAGCCTGAGTTAGTGATGTAGACTTCTCATGACAATCAAATAATGTCTTTCTTGAACCTCACTATTAACACATCAGCAGAATTTCTTGGGGGCTAATCAACTTTTCTCTTTTACAATTCCATGGATATGCTCTTGTAACTGGAATTCACCAGCAGTGGAGAAGAAATCTGTCACAGACTACACACTGAGCACCTCTTTAGCAAGGTGAGCCAGAGACAGCGGGATGTCATTCATCCTGCCATTCCTTTGGTTGCTACCCAATTGGTTATCACAGTGCTAGAAGGCCATGTAGGCTTCTTAGCAGCTATTTGGAAGTAGAGAGGCTCCTCTAAGGAATTGGAGAAAAGGGTTCCTGAACAGACATCTGCTTTTACAGTGACCCCTGTAATATTAACATATCTCAATGACCTTGGGAGCTATAAAGTTTTGATCTATTTAGGCTACTATAAAATTGCTCATTTTACAAAAAGTGACTTTAATCCCAGGACAAGCCCACTGTACATTTAAGAAAAGTATTCTCCTTATTAACGTGAAAGTCCACAACACGGACCCTTTTGGATTTTGGTATCTATTTACGGGTTCAAGTCAACCTAAAAGTTGAAAATCTACTTCAATTAATATTAAGACATAAAGACACTAAATTAAAGAAAGCAAGCTATTTACTGAGACCTTTTATTATAATTAGAATCTAATAAGAATCCAAAGAGGGAAAACATATATACTGTTAATAATCCAAACACAAGCCTTCAGTATAACTGAAGAATGAAATAATAAAACACTCTCCTTTCCTTCTTTTACCATGAAAATGTTGACTTCTGCTTGTGAATGACTGTATGTATAAAGAATAGAAGTACTTTCCTATATATCAATGTACCCATATACAGACAAGAGAGACAGAGAGATAGAGATAGATAGAGAGAAAGAAAGAGAGGAGAGAGAGAGAGAGAGAGAGAGAGAGAGAGAGAGAGAGAGAGACAGAGAGAGAGGAGACCCATAGGTAGGTATGAGCCCTTAATATTTATTAATTTAATAAAACTCATATCCAAGTACTTGACTTGCAAACCATAGACTACTTTCAAGTAGTAGAGGATGATATACCTTAATATTCACTTTATTTATTTTTATTTTTTGAGACGTCTCGCTCTATCTCCCAGGCAGAATGCAGTAGCACGATCTCGGCTCACTGAAACCTCTGCCTCCTGGGTTCCAGCAATTCTCCTGCCTCAGCCTCCTCAGTAGCTGGGATTACAGATGTGTGTCACCACGCCTGGCTAATTTGTTTTTGTATTTTGAGTAGAGACGCAGTTTCATCATTTTAGCCAGTACGGTCTCAAACACCTAACCTCATGATCTGCCCCCCTCAGCCTCCCAAGAAGTGCTGGGATTACAGGTGTGAGTCACAGCTCATGACCAATATTCATTTTAAAACACTGGAAATAAAAATTATTCCATTACCACTTAATGGATATAGAGTTTTCCTTTTGGAGTGATAAATTTCTGGACCGAGACAGTGATCATAGTTTCACAACACTGTAAGTGTACTAAATGCCACAGAATTGTACATTTTAAAACAGTAAGTTTTACATTAAGTGTATTTTATGACAATTTTAAAAAAAGTGATTCCAGATAAACAAAAGGGCTATTCTCTTAAAAAGGGAGGAGAGGGTTTTAATTAAACTATTCTTTAAATATGCACGAGGTGTTAACAATCAGGCTTTCCATAAGGGTAGCACAGAGACCTAAGAACCAAGCAGGCCACCTGTGTTGGCCTCCAATTGACATCTGCTACAGAGACTACTTCAGGGCATTGTAGAGTTAAAAAAATTAAAGCTCATTTTCTTTTTTCTTCCTACTAACCTGTAAGTATTGACTTAAACTGCCTCCCCACAATAGAGAAGAAGAGAACAGACACAGCCCTGAGGTGCTGCTGTTGCTTCACAGGCAGGATTTGGCCAGAAGCCTTGACACCTGCATGACTGCAAGGAACTAGCATGGGTAGCTCATGTTTCACTCTTAAAGTTACCCTTTAAAAATAAATACACACGTGAATGAAAAATAATTTGGACAGTCTTTCGTTTTCCTTCAAATGATTAAATTCCAAATCCTTTTCTTATAAGAAAGTAATGAGAAACTGATCTCAACCCAGTTTTTAGGGCAAGAAGTTTCCTGTTGGCTCTGTCTTTATTTTAGGTTAGGCAGTGTAATGAAAACATTCATTTCTACACATTTATTTATTTATTTATTTATTTAGATGGAGTAGTGCTCTGTCACCCAGGCTGGAGTCCAGCTGGTAAGATCTCAGCTCACTGCAACCTTCGCCTTCCAGGTTCAGATGATTCTCTTGCCTCAGCCTTCTGAGTAGCTAGGATTATAGACATGTATCACACCAAGCCCAGCTTATTTTTGTATTTTTTTTAGTAGAGATGGGGATTTCACCATGTTGGCCAGGCTGGTCTCAGACTCCTGACCTCAAGTGATCTGCCTGCCTCGGCCTCCCAAAGTGCTGGGATTATAGGTATGAGCCACTGTGCCTGTCCCATTTCTACACCTTTAAATCATATCCTGGAAGACCCAAACAGAAACACAGCAACATGAATGCTATAGTCACAGAAATTTCCCCAACCTGTATGAAACAAAATATTCTTTGAATCTGAATTTCATGTGTTCAGCTTTGCTACTCTTAAGAGTATCAGCATTCAATGGGTTTCTTTTATAGCGTGTAAAACCTGGTCTATTTTGTAAGACCCATTTATATTTACACTGCCTTTGACATGAAGTTGTTTTTAAATAATTCAGACACTATGATGATTTACACAGGATATCCATATAAGATTCTCACCTGGTTATCTTGGGAATGCTGGTCAACTAACAGAACAAACCATCAACTGTGTGAAATTTACATTTATAGGCCTTCTCTTCTGTATGGACATTTCATCTCCCTCCCTATCCCTGCACACTAGGGATTAACAATCTGTACTTGTTGGGGAGGGAAAGAAGTCAGATGAAATGTATATGTCATGTTTGGCACTGTTATATCTGAAATGGTTCCATTTTAGAATGTGAGTTCCTTAAAATAGAGATTTCAATTCTTTATAAAGAATATACAGTATTTAGCACACAGTAGTTTCCTATATATAATTTTAAAAAATCATTAAGGATTTCATCTCTGTATTTCATATTCTAGCTTGAGTTAATAGCTATTTGGGGAAAAAAATGACCAGCACCATAAATCATACTTTGGTGACCAAAATTAGTCAAAAAGACTGTATTATACTGATTTTGATATTGTTTCAAATTTGGATTAGGGAGACAACCTGATGTTAATTTACATTTAACACAGGTTCTATTGTAGCAACAATATATGCAAATCAGATAAAGAACAAAGGAAATCAGATATTCTTGTGATGAAATCCATCACATTTTCCAGGTAAGGCTTAAAAAGATGAAATCAGGGAGAAAAAAACCTTTTATGGCCACATCAAATAATGGAAATTAACCCAGCCTAAAGGGAAAATATCAAAGAAAATGATTAACTGAAAATAGGGTAATGGTAGCTTGCACGCATAGCCTTAATTATAATATTCACTATTACCAATACTGTAATTCATTAACCTTGCCTCTTACAGGCCTAGTAATAGAGGCTCGACCACTACATGAACTAAATAGATAATTGAATTTAAAACATTCCCCACCAGATCTATTTTAACATGTCTTTAAATTAGGTTGTATTATCAGTTTTTGATTTGCCCAATTGTTCAGGTGCCTTTTTTTTGTTTTGTTTTGTTTTGAGATGGAGTTTTGCTCGTTACCCAGGCTGGAGTGCAAATGGTGCGATCTTGGCTCACCACAACCTCTGCCTCCTGGGTTCAGGCAATTCTCCTGCCTCAGCCTCCCCAGTAGCTGGGACTACAGGCGCACACCACGATGCCCAGCTAATTTTTGTATTTTTAGTAGAGACGGGGTTTCACCTTGTTGACCAGGATGGTCTTGATCTCTTGACCTCGTGATCCACCCGCCTTGGCCTCCCAAAGTGCTGGGATTATAGGCATGAGCCACCACACCCGGCCTTCAGGTGCCTTTTAAAAGCTGATAAAGTTAGTAAAATATACACATTTGCCCAATGAGCAGTAAAGACCTATACATAGAGTACAATTTAAGCACATCTCAGAAATACTCCTTCCCTGGGACACTTGAATGTTTTTTAACATTTGAAATAAAGGAGGGTGAAAGAGTAAACCAAGTCTGCCCCTGAAGCAACTCACCTCTCCTGAGGCCTGCGGCCGGCTGCCTTTCTGTTTTTCCAGCACAGTCCCTGCTGCAAGGCCAGTGTCTGAGATCCTCACTGTGTTTGGGGTGGAGCTGGCAGTAGTGATCACAGCTGCCGAAGCCACCATGCCCTGGCCAACTTGTTCCAGTGTTTTTCCTGCCTCTTTGTTTTCGGCTCCACCCAACTCTGGGGCCAAAGGTGTCTGACCTGTGGCCGTAGCATACGGAGTGAAAGAGGCAGGAGTGTCCCCACCTACAGGCTCATCCTGCACCACCAGAGTCCTGCCGTTTTCTTTGGTGTAAGTGGCAAAGCGAATGTTGCGGTTAATCTGGGGGACAAATGTAGGCGGTGGCTGCTTTGCTCTCTGATCCAGCCCTGGGTCTCCACTGGCATTCCCTCCTTTCCAGGGCCCTCGGCTTGCCTCACCTCCATCGCTCCCATTACTGTCTACTTCACCCCTGTCTCCTTTTAATTTCTTTGATGCAGGGTCACACCCAGAGTCCGAAGCACTTTTCCTCCTCCGGCCATCTTTCCCCTCTATGCTTTCTCTCTTCTTCTTTCCTTTGGAAGATTTTACTGCTTTTAACGTACCCCCCTACAAAACAAAATTCAAAAATGATTTATTACAAGGAAACTTTCATCCTGTGAATACCATATACCATTAGCTCTTTCCCATCTCTAGAAGTAGACAAAGCAGGCATAGACTGCCAAGTTCCAATGCCAGTTCTAAAACATTCCCTGTGTTAAAAGCTCTAATCTTCCTGTGACTCAATTTATACATACACATTGAAGATAATAGTTACTAGAAGATAACTCACTTGGCAAACTTTCTGTTAAATAAAACATATTACTCCCTCAAATGGACTTTAACAATTTGTTGAATTTCTTTCAGAAAACAGACTGCTAGAGATAGGCTGGGAGTTCATTTACCCCTTGATGAAATAACTCACTTTATTACATATTTATCTCCTTGATTGAAAGAAACTTGCATTTTAAGTATTGAAATAGGAAATCTCCTCTAACCAGAAATCACTAAACCAACATTTGTGAGTCTGTAACCAAAGAAAAGTGAACCTGAAAGAGGCAGGTTTGGATTGCTCATATAGACACTGTAAAAACTCAATCCCCAGACCTTATTTCAAAGCATTAGTAGACAGAGGAAAGGGAAAAACGCAGGCTACCACTGGCAAAACAGGCATATCTCGTATTTCTTCTAGTAATTTCAGACTATCTCATGAAATCTTACTTTTGTCTTATTTGAGAGGTCAGACAACCTAGGATGATACAGAATTAGAAGGGGCAATTCCTTATCTGAATAAACTTTCCCTAAGAAGAATGAAGGGAGTGGGGCATGGGATGCAGCTAACGTTCTCTTGAGCAATCTTTGAGCAGCAAGGTTACAGCTAAAATATTTTTTAGACTGGCATTCCACCATTAAACAGGTATTCACTTTAGCATTATTTGGGTAACTTTCAGATAGTTGCATTTAGAAACTTGTGTGGGAGTGGTAATAACTGACACACAGTTATTTAGCCATTAATATTTACCAACTTAGTACCCTTTTTTTTTTTAGATGGAGTCTTGCTCTGTCGCTCCCGCTGGAGTACAGTGGTGTGATCTTGGCTCACTGCAACCTCCGCCTATCGGGTTCAAGCAATTCTGCTTCAGCCTCCTGAGCAGCTGGGACTACATGTGTATATCACACACCCAGCTAATTTTTTGTATTTTTAGTAGAGATGGGGTTTTACCATATTAGTCAGGCTGGTCTCGAACTCCTGACCTCATGATCCACCCACCTCAGCCTCTCAAAGTGCTGGGATTACAGGTGTGAGCCACCATGTCTGGCCAGTTAACGTACTTTTATGCCCTTCAATACTTATAGATTTTTCACAGATCTGTATCTTTTTTGTAATTATTATCATAGCTGTTACAATGGAAACTCAAAAAAATTTTAAATTTCTTCTGGCCAGTTCTAGTTCCTATATTTTTCCTTTTTGCTACCTTCATTACCATCTTTTCTCCTTTAATTTCCTTCTACAAAACTCTTAAGCAGGCTGGGCATGGTGGCTCATGCCTGTAATCCCAGCATGTTGGGAGGCCAAGGTGGGTGTATCACCTGAAGTCAGGAATTCAAGACCAGCCTGGCCAACATGGTGGAAACCCATCTCTACTAAAAATACAAAATTAGCCGGGCGCAGTGGCTCACGCCTGTAATCCCAGCACTTTGGGAGGCCGAGGCAGGTGGATCACGAGGTCAAGAGATCGAGACCATCCTGGTCAACATGGTAAAACCCCATCTCTACTAAAAATATAAAAAATTAGCTGGGCACAGTGGCACATGCCTGTAATCCCAGCTACTCAGGAGGCTGAGGCAGGAGAAATGCCTGAACCCGGGAGGTGGAGGTTGCGGTGAGCCGAGATTGTGCCATTGCACTCCAGCCTGGGTAACAAAAGTGAAACTCTGTCACAAAAAAAAAAAAAAAAAAAATTAGCCAGATGTAGTGGTACATGCCTGTAATCCCAGCTACCGGAGAGGCTGATGAAAACCACTTGAATCCAGGAGGGGAACGTTGCAGTGAGCTGAGACTATGCCACCACATTGACTAATTTTTGTATTTTTTCAGTAGAGACGAGGTTTCGCCATGTTGGCCAGGCTGGTCTTGAACTCCTGACCTCAGGTGATCCACCCACCTCGGCCTCCCAAAGTGCTGGGATTACAGGCATGAGCCACTGCGCCTGGCCTCTAAACCTTTCATTCAAGAACTGTTTCTGTTTGCTAAGTATCGTTTTCTTTCGATTTTGTTTTGTTTTATTTTGAGATAGAGTTTCACTCATCACCCAGGCTGGGGTGCAATGGTGTGATCTCGGCTCACTGCAGCCGCTACCACAGGAGGTATTCAAGTGATTCTCCTGCCTCAGCCTCCAGAATAGCTGGGATTACGGGCGTCTACCACTACACCCAGCTAATTTTTGCATTTTCAGTAGAGATAGGGTTTCATCATGATGGGCAGGCTAGTCTTTAACTCCTGACCTCAGGTTATCCACCTGCCTCGGCTTCCCAAAGTGCTGGGATTACAGGTGTGAGCCACTATGCCTGGCTCCCTCTTTTGATTTTTCTTTAATCTCTATTACCACCCAGTTTTCACTGTTGTAAATCACAATCAGTGAACTCTTCTTTCTTTCTTGTTCATTCACTCATACTACATTTAAAGGAGATGAGGTGATCATGGATCTCTAAAAAGGGTTACTATAAAACTTGGCAGAACTATCAATAATTGTACTTTGCTAGCAAAGAAACCAGTAATATGCTAACACCAAAAAAGGAAGAACCAACATCTGCTGCTAGAAACCAAAGATCGCCAGGCGCAGTGGCTCGGCACCTATAATCCCGGCACTTTGGGAGGCCAAGGTGGGCAGATCACAAGGTCAGGAATGCAAGAACAGCCTGGCCAATATGGTGAAACCCCATCTCTACTAAAAATACAAAAATTAGCTTGGTGTGGTGGCATGCACCTGTAGTCCCAGCTACTTGGGAGGCTGAGGCAGAAGAATCGACTGAATCCGGGAGGAGGAAGTTGCAGTAAGCTGAGATCACGCCACTGCACTCAAGCCTGGGCAATAGAGTGAGAGTCCATCACAAAAACAAAAACAAACAAATAAAAAAAACACCACCAAAGACCCCACCTATAACCCATCCAGCCAACTTGCAGAGCCTGGCTCACAGCAACCTACTACCCAGTCCCTAAACAACTTATATGTAAGTCCTACTTACAGTGAGCTACTCATGTGTGAGTTAGCAGCCTATAACATTGAGACCAGTACTCCCCAGTCATATTTGGCCAGCTGAACAGTACCTGGCATACAACATGTGCTTAATGAAGGAAGGAAATAAGGAAAGGAACAAAAATAGGTGTCCCAATACGCAAAGTAGCAGGTGTTTTTGGCTATGCAAACACAGCCAAGAGACTTAACCCTGTTCGTGGTAGTATTTATTACATGTAGTAAAGTTTTTAAACTTAACCCTGGCCAGGTGCAGTGGATCATGCCTGTAATCCCAGCACTTTGGGGAGGCTTTGAGACCAGACTGGGCAAGATAGCAAGACCCTATCTCTTAAAAAAACAAAACCCAAAAAACCCAATTCTCTTTTCCTACTCTGATCTTGTTTTAGCAAGTCAGAATGGCTGAATAAAGATAAAGAAGGACTATATACTTAGGAATAGTGGCCAAGACAGCAGCATTACAGAGGTGCTAAGATACCGTGAGGAATATGTGGACAGCTGGTCAACTGAAGGAAATTCACAGAATTACTTGATTGGTTCACGCAGAGATTTTTCTTTTTTGAGACGGAGTCTCCCTCTGTCCCCTAGGTTGGAGTGCAATGGCACTATTTTGGCTCACTGCAACCTCCACCTCCTGGGTTCAAGCAATTCTCCGGCCTTAGCCTCCCAAGTAGCTGGGATTACAGGCACCTGCCATCATGCCCGGCTAATATTTTTTTTTTTGGATTTTTGTAGAGACGGGGTTTTACCATGTTGGTCAGGCTGGTCTTGAACTCTAGAACTCAGGTGATCCACCTGCCTCAGCCTCTCTAAGTGTTGGGATTACAGATGTGAGCCACCATACCTGGACCAAAGATTTTTAATGTATCTTTTTTTTGGGTTATATTAATTCTGAATAAACCAAGAGTTGGCGTGGTTCAAAACAATTATGGAGTAATCAATCCACTATGGGCTGAGCACTGAACTAGGCACCAGCTTGAACTGATTCTACTTGGGAATACATAATTTCAGACTTCCTTGGACCTCACTGCCACTGAATGGAAAAAAAATGGTGGACATAGTTTCTCCTTCATTTCTTGTTACTGGGTAGGTCACAAGTATTACTACTGCTTATTGCACTTTTAACTGACTACATCTTTCAAATATACCTGTCCTGACAGAATATAGGGAGAAAATCGCCTTGCATTTTAAAAGAACTAGGGAACATAGTCATGATTAAAAGGGTGTGCTCAAACTAGGTCTCTTTCTTGAGAATATCTCCCCCCTTAATTAGACAGACTGTGGAAAAAGTAAAAAAATGCACAGTGGCTAAAGCTGAACAATTCAAAGGGCATCCACGGAGAACACATATATAAGGGATCTACACAGCAAGATAATGCAAGCTTATGAGTCAGCTCAGAAACGCAATCCATTACTATACCTCGCTTTGAGGCGTTGAATTATCCATCAGCATCACATGGATTAGTCTGGGATCTACCGACTTGATCTCACCACTCTACAGTAGGAGGTAAAAAAGATGTTTAATGACTTGTCCATAAAAAAAAAAACCATGCAATTTCCTAATTAATGGTCTCTTTATTGTTTTGACTCACCTACTAGAATGAAAGCTCCATGACAGCAGAGATCTCTACTGCCTCATTTACTGCTACAACAGGTATAGAATATGGTAAGCATTCAAATATTTGTTACGTAAATGAAGAAAGAGTTGAATTAATGTCAAAGTATGTCTTTTAGGAATGTTAATTTCAAATCCCTTATCTCTAAAACCTTCCTATTCTATATATTATGAAACAAAAAACCTTCAGAACGAACAGTCATGAAAAGAATCACTCTAGGGCTGGCCACAGTGGCTGACACCTGTAATCCCAGCACTTTGGGAGACTGAGGGGTGGATCACCTGAGGTCAGGAGTTCGAGACCAGCCTGGCTTAACATGGTGAAATCCAGTTTCTACTAAGAATACAAAAAATTAGCCACGTGTGGTGGTACATGTCTGTAATCTAAGCTACTCGGGAGGCTGAGGCAAGAGAATCACTTGAACCTGGGAGGCAAAGGATGCAGTGAGCTGAGATTGTGCCATCACACTCCAGCTTGGGTAATAAGAGCAAAAGTCCATCTCAAAAAAAAAAAAAAAAAAATCACTCTAGGCCAAGCATAATAGCTCATGCCTGTAACCCCAGCACTTTGGGAGGCTGAGGTGGGTGGATCATGAGGTGAAGAGATCGAGACTATCTGGTCAACAAGGTGAAACCCTGTCGCTACTAAAAATACAAAAAATTAGCTGGGTGTGGTGGCACATGCCTGTAGTCCCAACTACTCAGGAGGCTGAGGCAGAAGAATTGCTTGAACCTGGAGATGGAGGTTGCAGTGAGCTGAGATCATGGTATTGCACTCCAGCCTGGGCAACAAGAGTGAAACTCTGTCTCAAAAAAAGAATAAAAACTTGATGGGGGGCAATTTTATAGAAAACGTCAAATTTGCCAGGCGCAGTGGCTCACGCCTGTAATCCCAGCACGTTGGGAGGCCAAGGCGGATGGATCAGGAGGTCAAGAGATCAAGACCATCCTGGTCAACAAGGTGAAACCCTGTCTCTACTAAAAATACAAAAATTAGCTAGGCATGGTGGTGCACACCTGTAGTCCCAGCTACTCGGGAGGCTGAGGCAGGAGAATTGCTTGAACCCAGGAGGCAGAGGTTGCGGTGATCCGAGATTGCGGCATTGCACTCCAGCCTGGGTAACAAGAGCGAAACTCCGTCTCAAAAAAAAAAAAAGAAAACGTCAAATTTATTGTGCCTATTCGTTCATCTAACAATTATACATATAAATTTATTCCAATAAATAATGTAAAAAGATGTTCATGGATGTTCACCATGACATTATATGTATTAGTGAAAATATTGGCAATTATTTAAATGTCTATCAATTTTAGATTAGTCATGATATATATATGTAGTACAAAAGAATGCAGATCTTTACATACAAAAATGCTCATTATATACAATTAAGTAAAAAAGATAAATTATATATGTATTAAATGATCTTGTTACTAAAGTGTAACTTATATAATTATTTACCATATAAATTTTATTTCATATAAATTATATACCATATAAATCATTTATGTCATATAAATATAATATATAAATCTTCTGGCCAGGTGCAGTGGTTCATGTCTGTAATCCAGCGCTTTGGGAGGCTGAAGTGGGCGGATCACTTGGGCTCAGGAGTTTCAGGCCAGCTAGGCAACATAGCAAGACCCCTTCTCTACAAAAAATAAAAAAATTAGCTGGGTATGGTGGCACATGCCTATAGTCCCAGCTACTCCAGAGGCTGAGGTGGAAGAATTGCTTGAGCCCAAGAGGTGGAGGTTGCAGTGAGCTGTGATCATACTACTGCACTCCAGCCTGGGTGGCAGAGTGAGACCCTGTCTCAAAAAACCACACACACACACAATTATGAAGTAATACACCATATGCCGAGCACTAAACTAGGCACCTGCTTGAATTGATTCTACTTGGGAATACAGAATTTCAGACTCCCTTGGAGCTCAGAAGTAGTTTCTTCATTTCTTATTACTGGGTAGCTCATATATATATTTTTTTCACATATTTTTATATATACATACACATATAGAAAATATATAGAAGAATATGCCAAACTCTTAATGGTGGCATTAAGGGGAGTGACATTAGCATAGGGGAAGGAGTAGCCTTTAATATCTACTTTATATATATGTGTATTGTTTGAAATTTGTCAATGAGAATTTATTACTTTAATAATTTATAAAGATATACATAAAAAGCACTTATGCTTACATTATATGTTATTGCTAATGGCAAGTCTGAAATTAAAGTTGTCATAAACACATTATTTGTTTCTCTCAAAACACTTATCTACTATTTTTAGTCAACAAAAAACAATTATCCTAAACAATTATCCAGGTATCTCTAGATGCTATGGTCTTTCTGTTTATTAAAAATAATTCTTTTTTTCAGCATCTAGGGCACAGTGGCAGAAATAATACAGAGGCACATGCTAACTGCCTAGTCTTTTAACTACTAACTTTTATGAATATGATGAAATAATACTACTATTATACATTGTGGATTGTTTGACAGATTTCAGAGCACTTTCAAATACTTTATCTCAGGACCCAAAACAGTGTTTTAAGGTCAGTGGGGGTTTACCTATTTACCTCTCATTTATAAATGAAAACAGTGAAGTTAAGAAAGTTCATAGTCTTTCTAGGGGTTATACAACTATTATTAATTGATCCAGAAATGAAACCCAAGTCATTTTATACAAAATGAAGTGCTCACCTATCTAAACCATCCTCAGACAGAATAACAGAGTCTCACCTCAGTTAAAGACACCTCCATAAGACGAGTGATGGAGTCTTGATGGCTCACAACACCATAGAGCCATCCTTCTTCCCCCTCTGGCTGGTATACTTTGACCCTGTGACCTTGAACACTGTAGGGACCTAAAAAGGAGATCAGTCAGTATTGAATATTTTTGGCTAAGCTATATTTCATAATTGTTTCTAAAAGCCAAAGGAAAATTAGATAATGTAAATATTTGGCACTTTTGGTCCCCTTTTATAGAACTGAACAAATGAGCAATTCCAGATTTACCAAATTCAGCAATTTAAAAACAAAACATGAATGGTTTCTTCCAGTAGTCTTTGTAAATTCTTCATTTATTTGAAAATTCCTTAGAATTTCCCAGCCCTCTAATTCCCCCTTGTTTTAATCTTTAAGTTCTGAAAGTATCACAGGAAGGGAAAGGAAACTTCCAAATAAAAGACTACAGCAGTATGAAATGTAGTTACATACCTGACTTGTACATGAAAAAAGTGGGAGGCCACTAAGCTGAATGTAATATTATGTTACATTATGTTATGTTGTATATGACCGCTTACATTCTGGTATCTGACTTTCAAAAACAGTGGGTGGAGAGTTCAATTTATGAGGTTTCGAGCCTTCTGCACTAATAGTCTGAACAAATATAGCACCTGTCTTCCTAGGAACACAGAGTTTCAAATATATTACTTTATCAGCAGGTAATGTTACCTGGCAATTTAAACTGTCCTCCAAGGACAGTTTCTCTCTCCCACATATCCTTGTACATTTGAGACTAAATACCTAATTCATTACCAATTTTAGATTATTCTCTCTCAGAGCTATAATTAAGCTTCTGTAACTTTTCTATACATTTTATATATATACATATATATATGTAACTCCCTACCTCTCCTGTCCACTCAATTTTCTTTTCTGCTACCAATTTTCCTCATACTCTTTCTTCCACCATCTTTCCTTGATTATTTAACATCATTTTATCCTGACACCTTCCTTCCCCAATAGGTCAGTTTTTCTATACTTACCTGTTTAGATTTATTTTGACAAAAGAGAAACAAGGAAACTATTTCCCTGAAAATAACGATTATTATGAAATCAAGAAAGGAAGGGTAGTGAAATGTGCAATATAAACGAAGCCAACACATTTTGTGTAGATTCTTGGGCAAAACTTGCATCTAAACTTGAAAGTTAATAATTCTTTTTATTCTTAAAAATAACATGCTTTTAATGTCAATGAGTCTGTGGACACATTATTTTATACTCTGAACTCTAAGTTGTGATTTGTTGGTCTTAAGTCTTTAGAGCTTGAGAAACTTGCAGACTGTAAGTTCAACAAAAGCAAAGATTTTCTAATTCATTACTATATCCCCAATGCCTTAACACTGTCTAGTACACGGTAATACTTAAGAAATAAAAAAAACTAAAACTCAACCCACAATAAAACTGTACATCATGAAATGCAGAATGAAGAGGAAACACGGGTCTGAATGAGATCCTGTTTTTGCTCTAAGAGCATCTTTAAGGGGATGGATTGACCTTAGACAGAATAACACAGTCTCATCTGAGTTACAGATACCTCCATAAGAAAAGTGATGGAAAGAGAATGAGATTTCTATTCTACAGATCCAGCTAACTGGAGATTTTCTTTCTTTATTTTTATTATTATTATTTTTTAAATCCTTCATGTGGCATCTGACTATACCCACAAAAAGAAAATAAGTACCAATGTTTAAGGTTGCATGGTAACCCACTCAACAGAGATCATTACCTGAATCAGAGTTCAGGGACAGAAGACTATCTGTTCTTACCTCGGCTGAATATCTCTTGTAGCTTTTGGTCACTGATCAAAGCATTAACTGTTTCTCTCAGTGCAGTATGTTCCAAAAGAATCTGGTTTTGGCTATCTGTTCCCATCTGGTAAAGATAAAAGAAAACAACTGAATGTTAAAATGAATAGCAAACATCTAATCAGCTGAGAAAAATCATACCCTAAAGAACTGTACATCAACATTTGCCAAACAATATCTATAGAACTTTAGTTTCAGGCTAGGTGAGGTGGTCATGCCTGTAATCTCAGTACTTTGGGAGGCCAAGGCAGGAGGATTGCTTGAGCCCAGGAGTTTGAGGCTGCAGTGAGCTATGGCTGCACCACTGCATTCCCGCCTGGGTGACAGAGTGAGACCCTGTCTCTTGAACAACAAAAAAACAGAAGAAGTCTAGTCTTATGAGATTTCTGCAAAAATTAAGGATGCTAGGATCAATTAGGATTAGGAAATATTATATATCTTTCTACATATAATAGCATATTAAAGGCTCTGAGAAGTCATACAGGAGAGAAACTTATTTAGGCCAGTGTTTCTCATACTTATTTGACCACAAAACATTTTGTTCCTTGTAAATCTTTTTGCTTATTTCAGTATTTATCCAACATTTACTAAGTGCTATCTCATAAAGCACTAGGATTATAAATATGAATAAAGCAAGATTACCGAGAGGAAACGAGGCCTAATGAGTGGGGGAGGACATATCAAAAAAGAAATCATCATTAATATTTCACAGAACACAGTTTAGGAAGTAACTGCTCTTGTCTGTCTCAATAAGAGAGTGAAACACTTAGGTGTCTCATTTTTTCCTGCAGATAGTAACCCTTACCAGTGAGAAATAAATATATTTTCCTAAATTCTAAAACTATAACTCAGATGCTGATTTGTTTCAACTTTTTAACTTGTCCCTTTTCTTGTAACTATAATACTTCATGCTGCTTGGAACCAGTCCAAACTCCTGGATATCAATAATGTATAGGGCCCCTTGGACTCGAGTTATAGAAACAGCCACCTCAGAGAAGCCACCTCTTCTGAAGGGACTAAGAATTGTGGTCTTAAGTCTTGGGTGGTTTTAGGGTGGGGTAGGGCTGTGTAGAAGAAGCCTCAGCCACCAAAAGTACTTTTCAAGGGAACAAAAAAAATCCCTTAAAATGCACAGAGACGTATGGTATGGTAGCTTATGCCTATAATCCCAGCACTTTGGGAAAGCAAGGCAGGCAGTCATTTGAGGCCAGGAGTTTGGGAACAGCCTGGGCAACATGGCGAAACTCTGTCTCTACTAAGACTACAAAAGTTACCCAGGTGTGATGGCATGCGCCCTTTATCCCAGCTAGTTAGGAGACTGAGGCACAAGAATCACTTGAAACCAGGAGGTGGAAGAAAAAGGCCAGGAATGGTGGCTCATGCCTGTAATCCCAGCACTTTGGGAAGCTGAGGTGAGTGGATCACCTGAAATCAGGCATTCGAGACTACCCTGACCAACATGGTGAAACCCTGTCTCTACTAAAAATACAAAAATTATCTGGGTGCAGTGGCACATGCCTGTAATCCTAGCTACTTGGGAGACTGAGGCAGGAGAACTGCTTGAATCCAGGAGGCAGAGGTTTCAGTGAGCCGAGGTCCCGGCACTGCACTCCAGCCTGGGCAACAAGAACAAAACTCTGTCTCAAACAAATAAAATAAAAAAGGCACAGCATATTTATGGGAGGAAGTAATAAAAGAAATGCTAATATGTTCCCAGTAAAAGAAAAGGGGAAATACCTATATTTATATCAACAAAGAAACTAGCAATGAGAGAAATAATAGGCTCAAGACTAGAGCAAGTGTTAAATACCTGAAACAGATGCAACCCACTGGCATCTGACAGGAACCGAAGCTCTCGATCCAGAAGATATTCCACTGGAACCACAGATCCCAAACCCAGTTTATCTACTAGGGGAGTAAAAGTCTGTGAAGTACAATAAAAAGAAATTGATTAGAACTTGGGAATTAAAAAAAAAAGAACTTGGGAATAAAAAAATAGCAATTCAAACAAATATCTAACTTCAGAGAAAGAATTATTATATCTTTCATCCCAGTAAATATAGATAAGCTAAAGCATAAGTCCTTGGAAACATTCCCAACCTAGCATCTGCCCCTCAAATAGTCATGGGAAGCTAACTAATGCAGAAAGTCAGCTCAATATTCTTCTTGGCTAAAAAGGACAGAGGAATCAGAAATTCTCCTAATTCTGCCTAGGGATCTGGCTAATCTTGCCAGACTTCAAGGAAGCTAAATTATAAAAATTCCCAGAATAAACAGTTATACTGTTGTCATGTCTAGAACTCTTGAAATCTTTGTGAAATTTATAAAATAATGCATGGTTAATTCATATTACCATTTCATAAATAAATAGCCTATAAAAAAAAAATCAAGCAGAGACCCCATATCCACTTACAAAAGAGCTTCTCCTAAAAGTTCAACTGGAAAGAGGCGTTAAAAACAAACTAAAGGGCTGGGCGCAGTGGCTCACCTGAGGTCAGGAGTTCGAGAACAGCCTGGCCAACATGGTGAAACCCTGTCTCTACTAAATATACAAAATTTAGCAGGGCATGGTGGCGCGTGCTTGTAATCCCAGCTACTCGGGAGGCTGAGGCAGGAGAATCGCTTGAACCAAGGAGGCAGAGATTGCAGTGAGCCGAGATCACGCCACTGTACTCTAGCCTGGGCGACAGGGCGAGACTCCATCTCAAAAAAACAAACAAAAAAAAACCCAAAAAACAAAGTTTAGTAAGTGATGATATATACCACCAATAGATAAAAAATATTTGTTTTAAATATTAATTTAATTCTGTTAGCCACATGATAATTAGGATTTTTTAGAAGTTACCATTTATGCCTATACTTTGCTAACAGGACAGACAGAAACAAATGGATACTCTCACAATTAAATTTTATAACACACAGCTGGGCACAGTGGTTCATGCCTATAATCCTAGCACTTTAGGAGGCTGAGGCAAGTGGACTGCTTGAGCCCAGGAGTTCAAGACCAGCCTAGGCAACACGGTGAGCAACCATCTCTACAAAAAAATACGAAAATTAGACTGGGGGCAGTGCTGTGGGCCTGTCGTCCCAACTACTCAGAAGGCTGAGGTGTGAGGATATCTTTTTTTTTTTTTTTTTTTTTGAGACAGAGTCTTGCTCTGTTGCCAGGTGCCAGGCTAGAGTGCAGTGGCGCAATCTCGGCTCACTACAACCTCTGCTTCCTGGGTTCAAGCAATTCTCCTGCCTCAGCCTCCCAAGTAGCTGGGACTACAGGCACGTGCCACCATGCCCAGCTAATTTTTGTATTTTTTAGTAGAGAAGGGGTTTCACCATGTTGGCCAGGATGGTCTTGATCTCTTGACCTCGTGATTCACCCACCTGGGCCTCCCAAAGTGCTGGGATTACAGGCATGAGCCACTGTGCCCAGCCAAGGATGTCTTGTCTGGGGGTCAGAGGTTGCAGTTAGCTGTGACTGCACCACTGCATTTCAGCCTGGGTGAAAGAGCCAGAACCTGTCTCAAAAATATAAAATAATAAAACAAAATAAATTTTATAATGCTATTTTGTTCTACTCCATAATTGAAAAAAAACTTTAAAGGTTACAAATAACATTTCAAAAGCTTGCTTTAAGATTAAAGTGAAAAAATTATTTTCGTTGTTGTTTTTGTGACAGGGGTCTCACTATGTTACCCAGGCTGGATGCAGTGGCACAATCATGGCTCACCGTAGACTTGATCTCCTGGGCTCAAGACATCCTTCCACCTCAGCCCCACAAGTAGCTAGGACCACAGACGTGTGCCACCAGACCTGACTAATTTTTGTATTTTTTGTAGAGATGGGGTTTTGCCATGTTGCCCAGGCTGATCTCAAACTCCTGAGCTTAAGTGATCTTCCCACCTCAGCCTCCCAAAGTGCTAGGATTACAAGGCGTGAGCCACCATGTTCAGCCAAAAAAAATTCTGTCATATCAAATGTCATCTAATATAAAACATTTTGCAGGACAAAGGAGAAAAGACTGCTGCTAATTTCTGCATTAGTAACTTCAGAAAAAACAAATTAGTTAAGGACAAACTATGTAGCTCTTACACACACTCTTTCCCTAACACATAGTTATATTATAGGAGTAAAGCTCAGATATGTTCCCACCCAGTGAAAGCCACTCACCAGGGCCGGCCATTGTCCAATGGAGACTCGAGTGCCCTGGAGAAGGACTGGGTCCTCACGGGGTGCCCATACAAGAGATCCTTCCAGCAAAAGCACAATAACTTCTTCAGCATGAACTTTTACCCAGGAGTGTTGCTTCCAGTTACAGCCATCAAATTCTACAAAGATCTGCAAAAAGAGATAAAAAGCAGTTTGGAAGTCACACTTGGAAAAATCTCACATCATACTTATACATGCACATAAACCCCATTGTTCTGAACAACTGACTAGGAATAATTCTAAATTGTGTTTAAGTTCTTCTAAGGGATATCAATAAAAACTGATCTTCAGAGCCAGGAAGCTGGTCTCAGCCCCATTCTGAAAAGGAGGGACAGAGTTAAGGAGGCATGAACTATCCACAGTCATTCAGTAATTTTTAGTCATGTCTCTACTGAAATTGGCAACTCTTAGTTTCTAATTCATATCTACACATACTAGCTGAGGGCTTACCATATATAAGGTACCATGCTAGGTTCAGGAATACAGAGAGGAATCTGGTACACTTCTTGGTCTCAAAGAGCTCATAATCTAATAGGAAGAAATTTTTTGTACTTCTATTGAAATGACAATGAACTTTTATTTTTTGAATAGGTGATGTATGTATACAGCAAAAATTCAAAAAGATAAATGCTAAAAATCATTGCTCTCCCACTCCTGTGTGTGGATTCTACTGACTGACTGAGACAGGATCTCACTCTGTCAACAAGCCTGAGTGAAATGGTTTGATAGCTCACTGCAACCTCCGTATGCCAGGCTCAAATGATCCTCCTGCCTCAGCCTTCCAAGTAGCTGGGACTACTGGCATGTGCCACCACGTCCCGGTAATTTTTGTAGAGACACAGTTACACCATGTTGCCCAGGCTGATGTTGAACTCCTGAACAAGGGATCTGCCCACCTTGGTGTCACAAAGTGCTGGGATTACAGGCATGATCCACCATGCCCATCCTTTTATAAATTTAAAATTACATTAAAATTAATTATTTTGGTAGAGATAGGGTCTTGCTATGTTAATCAGGCCAGTCTTGAATTCCTAGGCTCACGTGATCCTTCCATCTGGGCCTCCCAAAGTGTTGGGATAATAGGTGTGAGCCACTACACCCAGCTCTGCATGTGGATTCTTAAGTTCAACTGTCAGAAGTAAGCTCACATCTGCTGGTCAAGACTAGCTGTAGTCACAACAATGCTGTTTCTTCTCTTAACAGATATTTCACTTCTCAGGATATACTTAAGTAGATACTGTATTTATATCATTCTGAAAGCAGATCACATCAAAATGAAGCTACGTTTTTCTAATAAATATTATGCTTAGACTTGTTTTTTTTTTTTTTTTAAACAGGATCTCACTTTGTTGAGAGTGCTGTGGCACAATCATGGCTCACTACCGCATCGACTTCCTGGGCTCAAGCAATTATCCTGCTTCAGCCTCCTGGGTAGCTGAGACTATATAGGCACACACCACCTCGTCCTCCTAATTTTTGATTATTTGTATAGACAGGGTCTCACTATGTTACTCGAGCTGGTCTCGAACTCCTAGACTCAAGCATCTTCCCGCCCTGGCATCACAAAGTGCTGGGCTTACAAGTGTGAGCTACCCTTCCTGGCCCCAGCTTTGACTTTCTATATAAATTCTTTTTTTTTTTTTTGAGACGGAGTTTCGCTGTTGTTACCCAGACTGGAGTGCAATGGTAGATCTCGGCTCACCACAACCTCCGCCTCCTGGGTTCAAACAAATCTCCTGCCTCAGCCTCCCGAGAAGCTGGGACTACAGGCGCGCCCCACCATGCCCAGCTAATTTTTGTATTTTTAGTAGAGACAGGGTTTCACCTTGTTGACCAGGATGGTCTCGATCTCTTGACCTCGTGATCCACCTGCCTTGGCCTCCCAAAGTGCTGGGATTATAGGCGAGAGCCATTGCGCCCGGCCCGACCTTCTGTATAAATTCTGACTTCTGAACATGAGTCAACACAGCACCAAAAGCTACCTATGCGGCCAGGTGTGGGGGCTCACTCACACTTTGGGAGAGCGAGGTGGGTGGATCACGGAGTCAGGAGTTCAAGACCAGTCTGGCCAAGATGGTAAAACCCTGTCTCTACTAAAAATACAAAGATTAGCCAGGAGCGGTGGCAGTTGCCTGTAATCCAAGCTCCTTGGGAGGCTGAGGCAGAGAATTGCTTGAACCCAGGAGACAGAGCTTGCAGTAAGCCGAGATGGCATCACTGCACTCCAGCCTGGGTGACAGAGTGAGACTTCATCTAAAAATAAAAATTAAAAAAGCTACATATGCATATAGATTATCACTATTTATAACAGATATGCCCAGTGCCTAATATATAGCTGGTCACAAAATGGCCAGAGTATTTATTTATGTCCCCTCAATCAACAAAGGATTTCTGTTGACTTTTGGGAAACACACTGGCACGATCTTGGATCACTGCAACCTTCGCCTTCTGGGTTCAAGCGATTCTCCTGCCACAGCCTCTTGAGTGGTTGGGACTATAGGTGTGCACCACCACACCCAGCTAATTTTTGCATTTTTTGTAGAGATGGGATTTTGCCATGTTGGCCAGACTGGTCTCCAATTCCTGGCTTCAACTGATCCACCCGCCCTGGCCTCCCAAAGTGCTGTAATTACAGGCATGAACCACTGTGTTTGGCTTGTGTGACATATGTAATTAATAAAAATCAAATTCAGGCCAGCCACTGTGGATCACCTGAGGTCAGGAGTTCCAGACCAGCCTGGTCAACATAGTGAAACCCCATCTCTACTAAAAATACAAAAATTAGCCAGGTATGGTGGCTTGCGCCTGTAGTCCCAGCTACTCAGGAAGCTGAGGCAGGAGAATTGCTTGAACCTGGGAGACAGAGGTTGCAGTGAGCCGAGATCATGCCACTGCACTCCAATCTGAAGCAAGGCTCTGTCTCCAAAAAAAATCACATTCATTACAATTGTTATGTGTATTTTACCACAGTGAAAAAAATTTTAAGAAAAATATTACTGAATTCACAATAGCTTTTACTGGTATATATGTTCTCATATAACCAACATAAGAATTATAATGATATGAAAATTCAGGAAATTTATACTTGAAAAGTATAGAACCATAGATCAGTAGCCTACCATTTAGTTTAATCTCTTCACAGGCAACAAATACTTGTGAACTGAAGGGCAGTGCTGAAAAGTTATCACAGAAGTTAAATCCGTTATCAAGATCTAGCTTTATTATCTATAATACTCCAAGTAAGCTTCATTTCCAATTAATAAAAAGATGTAGATGAGGCCGGGTGTGGTGGCTCAGGCCTATAATCCCAGCACTTTGAGAGGCTGAGGCGGGTGGATCACAAGGTCCGATGTGCAAGACTAGCCTGGCCAACATGGTGAAACACTGTCTCTACTAAAAATACAAAAATTAGCTGGACGTGGTGGTGGGCACCTGTAGTCCCAGCTACTCGGGAGGCTGGGGCAGGAGAATTGCTTGAATCCAGAAGGCAGAGGTTGCAATGAGCCGAGACTGCGCCACTGCACTCCAGCCTGGGCAACAGAGCAAGACTCTGTCTCAAAACAAACAAACAAGATGAGGATGCAAGGCTCAGAAAGGAGAAGAATGATTTTTACAAAGAAAAAAGCAGGACAGAACACTGAACTGCACCATATTTAATATATAAATAGGCTCATTCATAGATATATACATGTTGAGGGGAATAAGACAGTCCCTGCCTTCAAGTAACTTGCCACTGGAAAGAGAGATGCATTCAAACTTACATTTAAGTGCAGACTCAGGCACCAAGAAAGGCAGCACAATGTACAACGCTTGGAGCTCATGTTCCAGGAGGCCTGAACTATTGTCTCAGTTCTACTGTCTTGCAAAACTTGGGCTGGGGGCAGTGGCTCATGCCTGTAATCCCAGAACTTTGGGAGACCAAGGAAGGAGGATCACCTAAGGTCAGGAGTTCAGGACCAGCCTGACCAACACGGAAAAAACCCCATCTCTACTAAAAATACAAAATTAGCTGAGGGCTACTAGAGTCCTAAGACCAAAGCAAAGAAAAAGAAAAAAAAAAAAAAAAAAAAACAAATTAGCTGGGTGTGGTAGCACATGCCTGTAATCCCAGATACTTGAGAGGCTGAGGCAGGAGAATCACTTGAACCCAGGAGGCAAAGGTTGCAGTTAGCCGATATTGCACCATTGCACTCCCTGTTGCGCAACAAGAGCAAAACTCCATCTAAAAAAAAAACTTGGACAACTTGCTTTTCTCTCCTGAAACCTTAGTTTCCTCTTTTGTGATATGATACACCTTCTTACCTCACAGACTGGTTGTGAAAATTAAACAGATTTGAAAGCACTTTGGTCCATTGTAAAGCACTATTGGGGCAGTAATATGTCACAGGATAAATAGAAATGGGGTAAAATAAAGTACGGTGGGTATTCAGAGGCATAAGATCAGTTCAGATGTGCACAGGAACGGATAGAGGGTGAGGACAACAAAAGCCCCAGTTAAGTTCTATGATGGCCAGGAACTATTCAACACACTTTGGGAGGAAGCAGTGGTAAATAAGGCAAAGAAGGCTAAGAGTACATGTGGAAGACCTTGAACACTTAGATAAAAGATTAGGGCTTCATCTAGCTGCCAAAAGGAAGTGCGGGTGTGTGTATGCAACTATCATTAAAAGGTTTTGTGTGTGTGTATGGTGGGGCAGTAGGGAGTGTTCTTACATGACCCAGAGTTGGGGGCAGTAACATGAGGAAGGAAGTGACTTGTGCTTGTGAGAATACAAGAGCCCTATCCCTATCACAAAGCTTGATGACTGGCTGGATGTAAGAGTAAGAGAGAATTAAAAAATGACTTTGATTTTGAACCAGAGAAAAGAAGTGCTGCCATTACAAATATGTACTGATGTCAGGAGGAGACAACGGCTGGAGGACAGACAAGACCTTGCAAACCATGAAAAGCAGCCTGGAACGTTCAATGCACAGGCTGGATCTGATCCTAAGTGACACAGTACTCTATCAGGTATCCTCAGAAAACCAGAGGTTGAGACTCCAAAGTAACTGATTGCTAGGTGCCATGATGTATAATTCTAATCTGCCAGCTCACTGCAACCTCTGCCTCCTGGGTTCAAGCAATTCTC